TTACTGACTCTAGGAGTGCAGACAGGGCTGTTGTGATGCAGCTGGGAGGTAGGTACATCAAAAGCAAGCCCACTTGAACCCCTAGGTCCAACTTCAAGAGAAGAGACTCACACCCCACAGTCTCTGGAGCAGGGATCCTGCGAGGAACTAATGATCCTCGGATAATAATTGCCACTCCCCCACCCCTTTCTGGTGTCATGGTTGGTGGAGCACCTGGAACCCTTCTGGGCACATTTCTGAGAGGGGGACTCCTCCCTCATGGCCCAGCCAGGTTTCAGTAATACATGCCAGGTCTGTTACCAGTTGCCTTGTTCTGCATAGAAATGGCAATGATGGGCACTGAGGATTGCAATGCTATAGCCTGACCAGTGAGGTTCACAAGAGAGTTAAAAATTTACAAGAAGCTGGGCTTGGCATTGATGTATATAGAAAAGGGATGGAGCATGCATCATGAAGTTTTATCCACCATTCTGTAGATTTTGACACTTGAAAACCGATATTCCATGGCTGAAGTAGGCAATCTGGGCTCTACCGATGGGATTGTTCAGTGCCCCCAATAAATATGGCATGTCCTCCAATATCTGTAATCTGTATCTAACTAAACTAATGACAATAGGTAGAAGAAGAGGAGGTGGAGAAGAAAGAAGAAGAATATATTGAAGTGATGGATAGCTTTTGCTTTTTAGGATCATCCATGAACAGTAAAGGAACAAGCAGATATGAAATATGCCACAGACTAGGATTTGGTAGAGCAGTCTTGAAAGGCGTAGAAATATATTCAAATGCTGTGATTTGTCTATACTGACAAAGATCAGAGTCATGCAAGCCATAATATTCCCCGTGTCACTCAATGAAAACAAAAGTTGGGATTTAAACAAGTAACATGGGTAGAGTATTGACACCCTTAAACTTTGATTTTGGAGAAGATTCCTGAGAATACTGTGGACATCCAAGAACACAGATCATGGGTTTTTGAACAAATCATCTCAGAGTTCTCACAAATGACCAGTCTCCAATTTTCCTATTTCGCACACATTCTGTAAAGTCCCAGCTTTCCGGAAGAGACTCTAATGCTGGGAAAGATGAAGAACAGGGCAACCACCAGCAAGGCATGATACAGGTCTCATCAGCCAAGATATGTCAGCTGGCACGGACTAGGAAGTGCCTTTTCTGCTATAATCTCTGTCATCTGGAAAGTTCTCATCCAGAAATAGACTGTATGACTGTATGACTGTATGTATGTATGTATGTATGTATGCATGCATGCATGCATGAATGAATACAGGTGGATGAACTCAGATATTAATGTTGAGTACACTATTGGGAGATATGAAAGAATAGGCTAGGGAAATATGTGGTTGCTAGTAGTCAAAAACAATTTGACAGCACATAATCATACCTAAAATAATTCAAGACTGACTATAAATTCTACATTTCTTGAATTCTAATCTCATCCCAGTTTTGGCAATGAGATTAGCCTAGTAATTCTGGAGTAATGCTATGAATATTTTTGTCCTGCATTACAGTGGAACTAATACCAAGCATTTCCCACCCACCCCCAGATTTGCCGCAGACTAAATGGTGTTCGGTTTACAAGCTGTAAAAGTGCCAAGGATCGGACTGCCATGTCGGTGACCCTGGAGCAATGTCTCATACTTCAACATGAACATGGAATGGCTCCACAGGTCTTCACTCAGGCCCTGGAGTGCATGAGGAGGTAAGAAGACCTAGTTTGCTTGCGCTTACTTGTTTCTAATCCTGGAGCCCTGTAAACTGCAGATGAGTATTCAATACTATATGATTCAGCTTTTTCTTTACACATATAACTGCCATTGCGGAGTAGTCTGAGATCCAGACTCTGAAATTATTTAAACCGTCTCCTTGGACTTGAGATTTAACGGAAGTAATTGCTAAGCAAGTAGATCTTTCTGCTTTACTGCTATGAAAGCTTCACAACTAACATTGTCAAGGCTGCAGTTTTCCTTGGGAGTGAAAATGCAGAATTATTAACTGAATTAAGGCGAAACATCTGCAGGTTGCATTGGTTTCCTATGCTTACTCCTCAGAGGTTTGCCCCTTCAGCAAATTGCCATTATGAATGTTTCATGATACAGCAAACAACTCCATCACAACCTGCTGGCATACTGTGGTCATATCAGTTTAATCTGCTTTCTGAAGCAGTTGACATGTTCACAGTTTCTGTTTTAAATAAAAATCCAATACATTATTTCAAGCACTGCTGAAAAGCTCCAGTTTTACATATGAAGCAAGAAAGGATAAGAAATCCAGATTTAGTGTTTAATCATAGTTTAACTTGACGATAGAGTTCTGCTTTCAACATTCACTTTTGCTGAATGTAAATGTTCCGTGTGTCTTCTCACAAGCTCTCACAAATGTTCAATTCTCTTATCCTTTCTATATGTTTTGCTATTTGACCCTTTCTAAACCTTCAATGGTTTATTATTTTTAAAACCTACGTGCAATGTCATCTTACTTTAGTAAATGTTTTCTAATTCCATAAATCCTATGTAGCAACTACATAATTCCATAAAGTGCAATTGCAATTGTTTCACATTGAGCCAGCAGTTTAAGAATATAGTACTATATCTAATATAAGAGAAAAGTATTTTAAAATTAATTCTTACCATTTTATTAGTTGTTCTTCTGATAGCATTCAGTACAATTTAACATAGTGATCTAATATGGATCACATCAAGGACCAGTTGTATGCAACAAACATTTTTAGCTCATACTATCCTGAGAAAAAATTATCATGTTGTTGCGCTTTGAGCATTTAAGAAATAAAACTATAGAATTGATGTGGATGATGCTACACAGTAGACCTAATAGTAGGAATTCTGTTTTATTTGCTTGTTACAAAATAATTGCTACATTTTGGCATTATTTTACAACAAAGCAATTTTTTTTCTGGCAATACAGACATTGCATTGATAATACAAAAATTAAAATTGAAGCAAGGGAATACTCTTTTGTTGATCTGAGTTTGAAAAAGGCTGTTTAGCAGTCAATATTTCTTCTGTAGAATTTCAATTTAACATCTTTTAATAAAATGCTTTTTAAATAGTTGATAATTTTCTAAAATATTTATTGAAAACCTCAAAATAAATGCTACATGTAGTTTAACTTGCCTAAGATATTTACAGACCTAATTCTTAAAAAAAAAATCCCTGCCTTTTGGTAGACGTACCACTATATCTTTATTTCTGAAAACGTCGAATACCAAAGTGAATAACATCAGAATCTGGGACCAAAGTGGATAGATTTACTTTTTTAAACTTTTAAGTTCTCCACCCATTTTTCAAGTATATTTTAGGCTGGTAATAGGACATCTATGTGGTTTATTTTAGTTCTTAAGCCACTGAACTAATGCCATGGATTTTAAGAAATAAGTTTTACCTAGCTTCTTCAAGGGAAGATTTTCACTACACTAATAATTGAATTAATTCAATAAACCCAGCATTGAAGCATTATTGAAAGGGTCAAATATCACAATGGTTATTCATGTTCAGTTTGCTTTTCAGAGTTCCCTTTCTTTGCAGCATGTGGAAAGCATGGCACAAACCGCATAGAACATCGCTTAGCCAAATGAGAAAAATGAACATGGAAAACCATTCAAGTTTGACATACATGTATTTATTTTCAGTAGACTACAGTATTCTTTCTTATTTTCTCTTTTTTATTCTCTTTCTCTCTCCTTTATTCTGTAATTGCGCCTTTTATTATTATTTTGAAAAAAATGGCATATTTCCTTATTCTTTATCCTCACACATTCTACTTTCTGTTGTGAATTTTTCAAAGTTTATTTTCTTTCCTCTTCCTGAATCAATTTTTTTCTTTTGCCATCTTGATTCTCTTTTTATCTTTTGATATATACATTGCATGCCTGTGTTTTTTTTTCTGTTTCTTTTTTTTTCTCCCCAAATCTCTTCCTTTTCACAGTATTGGAACACGGGAGGTAGTCATCCAGAAGAACTTGTGTGGCCTGGTGCCCCTCCGGGATTTCAGGCTAGATCCCAGCCTTCTTTACTCTATTCCTCTATTAGCGCTAAGCCCCAATTTACTGATTGTGTGGCTGTTTCTGAGCATTGCATACTTGGTGGCTAAATTACGTTGCAAATAAAGTAAAATAAACCAAGCAAAAATCCAGTAAAGTGCCAGAATATATATATTGCCACCTGGTACCGATTTGTCGAAAAAGTCTCATAGCATTGTTGCCAAGAATAATGATAGTATGCCTTACAATTTTGTTTCTATTGTACTAAACTTGTAAAATACACATCTGATTCTTTTATGAAAAGGAATTGTATTGAGTGCTTACACTGTCATTGAGCTTCCAGTGCTTGTAATGTAAGTCCAACAGCTGCCTGTTATCTCAGCGATTTAATCAACCTGAAGATTAGTTTCTGTATCATCTATTTTAGGCATTCAAATCCTCCTCCCCTGCATTTATTTATAACTACATACAGCTTTGTTTCACATGTTTCTTGTTATCCAGAAAAAGAAACTATGTCTAAAGAAATTTTTGTATATCCTAAAAAAGTGACAGTCTTGCTTTTCATATTTAAGTGGTAAGGGGGAAAAGGGAAGGGCTTTGTAACATATGTATCTACATATCTGTTCAAGGCATCTTTCTACTTTGATTTATAAGCATCACTTCTACAGTGTTACAATCATCAATACATAAAACTGTGGAGTTCATTTTCTTATAAATCTGTTGCAACACATGAACTTGAAAGCAGTATGCTGCACACAATATATAGAGTCAGTATATTTATATGTTTACTTTCTTACTGCATCAAAAAAAAGAAAGAATATATGGAAAGAGTAGGCTTAACAATCACCTAATTCCATTCAAATAATTGGAAAAGTATTTTTATAATCTGTGTGATTCAATGCTATCACATGTTAATTAATATTTACATTAAATATTGCCATAAAATGCACTAATAGCTCTTTTGGGTTAATGTTAAACTTTAAATCTTAAGGTATGTGAAAGATGCAAATGCATTTTAGTGATATCCTGAATCCTAATCATTCAATTTGTAATACAATTATCTTAATTTCTATCATTATAATATTTATTCACCCAAAACATCCCGGTAGCATTTATAAATAACATCAGTGTATGCTTAGGAACATGTAAAGATAGATAGAAGATGGATGGATGGATGGATGGATGGATGGATGGATGGATAGATAGATAGATAGATAGATAGATAGATAGATAGATAGATAGATAGATAGATAGATAGANGATAGATAGATAGATAGATAGATAGATAGATAGATAGATAGATAGATAGATAGATAGATAGATAGATGTAGCTAACTATTGGGTATTAAAAAAGCAGCTCCAAGGCTTATAAATAAAATTATTTAATATTTGGTTGTTTATCTGATCTGTTGCATTATATAAATTGTATTGCAAAGATAAGATATAGATGTGTTCTTGATTGGATTGATTTGGATCTTGACACAGTAGCTGCTTTCCTGGTAAGTATATGATTCTGTTGCAGCGAAAGGTATAGGGCTCAATTATACTGCATGTTTTTTTCACTTGCCAGGTAATGAAAATATGAGATACTTCCTGTAGATGTCACACAATAATGTTCAATTTTTAAATTGAACCGCAATTTTATTTTTTAAACCACAATAGTTACATCTTGGTAACTAACAAGTCCTTTGACAAATTTATTAAGAAAAAATATATTGATCATTTTATGCCAAATCTAAGCATGCTCTTTGGCACATTCACATCATAATCTTTTCCATACCACCATTTTCTTTGCTTATCCAACAAGATCACTTATTCCAAATGTTGGCTTTGACTCTGCATGCATCTGTGTGGCCTTGCAAATGAATATAAGTAGCCCTTGAGTTCTCAATCACACCTATTTTCCCAAGACAATAGAGTTCAGTACATAAATGCAATCTTGCGTTTAAGGAAGTAATGCTGGGTTGACAAATAGCCAGCTCCCCAAAGAAAACATCCAAGTATGAATTTTCTATGTAGGGAATGTAGTTCTTACTGAGGTGTACAAATTATTTAAATAAATGGAGGGATACATTTGGGAGGCTGGTTTGAAAAACTCAGCTGTCCTGCCTTATATTGTGGCATTAAATATACTAAAGTGCTTTAGACTTAAAATTGTATGTGACTTTTATGTATAGGGGTGTGTATGTATGTATATATACATGCAAACACATCACAAGTTATTAAATCAAGAAATGCATGAATCTTTATTTCATGCATTTCCTCTCATAAGTCTGGAGAATTTTGTTTAAAACATGCTCGGTGGTAGAAATGATGCTGAAACCAAATATATAAATAGTTGTCACTACATACAATAACTACACCAAATAATCGACTATTTAACCCATACATTTAAAACATAATGAAATCAGTTAGACCTATTAATGTAAGAATATGTGTGATCCATAAAAGAGAATGCAAATTAAAGTCTTTTATTTATATTTGTATAATAAATATCAGCAAAACATACCCAGGAAATCAATATAATATTTTAAAATCTTATTTGACTAGAATTTTCATTGTACTGATAATTGGACCAAGTTATTATAAATTGACATCAGAGTGCCTATTGGAAACAAAACTGTTGTAGTTAATGCTCAGAGCATGTTCAACGTTGCTGTCCTTCATTGTCAACTTACAAATAAATAATATCTCAGTCATATTTGTATACTTTTGTCTTCTGCTTCTGTAGCTTTCATTTTCCTTTGTCATCTCCTGTTTAGAGAAACCAAAGAAGGAAACTTGGAAAGTATATTTTGAGAATTCAAATTACTTATGTAATTATGTATATATAAATATGTATATCTAATAATAATGGCTTTTGCAATAGAGTTCAGTCTTGCTGAATGAAAGTGTGCAATAGATTTCAGAGCCAAATAGAAAATGCTGCGATAAAATTCCTGCAGTAACATTTCTTCTCCTGTGCCAAAATCTTCCAGAAGTGATGTTATACTGCCAATATGTTCCCTGTGATTCAGAGAAGGAGCTGGCAGACTTGTCTATATCTCCTTTTCCTAAAAACAAATATGCATTGTTGCTTGCTTAGATTTGCAGGTGTAGCTGTTAAGAGTCCATGTGGCACATTTTTGTATGTACACCATCAATGGCCCATTTTTTAATTATGAATTCAAATATTTTACTGAAATGAAATAGCTGACTCCTTTCATTTTAATTAAAATACTTGTAATTTTGTTTTTGTTTTACTGCTGTCATTTTTTCCCCTTTTTTGTGCTTGTCTTTTTCCCCAGTGAGGGCTGTCGAAGAGAAAATACAATGAAGAATGTTGGATGTCGCAAATATGCATTTAATTCCTTGCAGCTGAAGGCTTTCCCCAAGTATTACAGGCCTCCTGAAGGAACTTATGGAAAAGTTGACTCATAGGATTACGGTGTCTTGTAATTAGTTGTTCCGTTAAAATATGTGAATACACTCAACTTTAGTATATGAATTTTGATGACAATGTCAGAAAAAAAATGTTTTTGTATGTTTCATTAGGAAATACTGAGCATGTAATTTTGTTAAACTGGATTCCATAGAAAGAAAACAATTACGTGCTGAATAATCATAACATGAAATTAATAGAATGATTGCCCACTGTAAGATGCCTGCATATATTAGTTAATCAATCTCTTTGCCTAAATAAGAAAGATAATTCCTGGACTGTGGAGGATTTTATGAATTAGGCAGCTGTTTCCCTCATTTTTATACTGATTTTATTTAAAACTTTCATAATACTTTTTAAAACCTCAGTGCTGTAAATAGTAAATAAATTGGAAATGAGGAGTTTTGACAAGTACAACAGGTATTAAAAATAAAAGAAAAGGCTCAGTTTTAAAAACGGAGCAGTCCATTAAAATATAAAGTTGGGAATTTAAATTTATTAGAACACTATGTATATAAGAGTTACCGTAGGGAGTATAAGATGCACCAGTGTATAAGATGCACCAAGATTTTGAAGAGACAAATTAAAAAAGTTTTTCACTCAGCAGACCTCTAAAAAATGGCCCATTTTTTGCGAAACTGGCCCTGTTGTTTGTCAAAAAAAAAAAAAANAAAGAACATGTTTTCCCTTCAGAAGAAGGGGATGGTCCAAAAGAGGAAGGGAAGTGTAGGAGCCCAGAGAGACAAAGCACTCACATGTCATATACATATACATATACATATACATATACATACACACACACAAACACACACACACACACACATATGTGACAAATGTTTTTAAATGCGATAAAATATGTTTGAAATAAAAAAGTGGGTGGCTGGATTCGTAGAGCAATTCAATTATTTGACATTGTTATTTAATGTTAGGCAGATCAATAGTTCTTTAAAATTCATATTATATTGGCATCTTTTCACATATAGATTCCAGTTTATCCTGGAGCTGCTGCTCCTCTACTTGGTGGACCTGTTATAGGGGCACAGTTCCATGGTGAAGATGGATTGGGCGATGCTCCTGATCCTAATGCCCCAGGAACAGAACTTCTGCAGAAGGAAAATGCTGTGACTGCAATATTAAGAATAATCAATGGGCGGCCAGGTCAGGTGAGATGGTACAGGAATCATAAATATTTATCATAAATTTGGACTAGAACAAAGTCTTGCTTCATCTTCAATGCTCCCCAGGGTCTGAATTCCAGCACAACATTTTTAATCTACATAGCCAGTATATGAAAAACATTTTTTTCCTGTATCTCTTTGTTTTCACAACTTGTGGTTCTCTAGAATTTGCATCCCAGGTATTACTTGCATGCTGCCTGGTGCTCAGAAACTTTGGATGGATAGATATGGAAGTTAAGGTAGCCCTACTGTTAACACAAGGAACCTAGAAAGAAGAAACAGAGGCATCAGAACAAGGACAAAACTAGGCTGTACCAAATAAAGTTACAGTACATTCCTTATGAGTACAGCAAAATATTTTTTGACTTTCAGGTCAAGATTTACTGATTATACTATTTCCAAATGGACCAAAAAATACGATCACAACAGTTTGATCTGAAGAAGTGAAGCCTAATCAACTAAGAAAAATTAATATAGTGTTACAGTTATGTGTTTTAATAATATTCAATAAATAAATGTATCTTTAGGTATCTCTGGTTGCTCTTGGTCCACTGACGAATATAGCATTAGCAGTGAAAATGGACCCATCACTTCCCAAGAAACTTAAAAATTTGTTCATCATGGGAGGAAATACTGAATGTAAGTGAACTCAAGAGGACCTATTTGACGTGTTTATGCTGCTAATTTGGCAGATGCATGCTTAAAATTAATTTTAACCTGTTTGTTCATTTTTTATGGGAAAAAAATCTAATTATACTACCTAATTCTGGCTGCTTAGATAAAGCCTGACTGCTTTAATTCAAATCTATTTCTACCAAGTGTATGCATGCGTATCCTAAATATTTTAACTCAGGGGTGGTTTTCAGCAGTTTTACTGCTGCTTAACTCGTGTGTGCGGCTCGTGTGCTGAATGTACGCTATGCGCTCAAGTACAGTTCAGCGGAATTTTTGGGGGGGAAATCTAAAAAAAGATGGCAGCGGTGATGGCGGTAACCAAGGAACCGGTTCGGGGGCATGGCCAGCCTCGGTCACTGCCAGTTCTGCAACCCAGGCCAGCATACCACTGCCGGTTTGACTGAACTGAGCTGAACCGGTAGGAACTCACTTCTGGCCATAGTGTATCTGGACCTCAGCAAAGCTTTTGACAACTTACCTTGTGATATTTTCCTTCATGAAATAGTAAAACATGGCTAGAAGGTGCTACTATTTAATGGACACTGTATAATGACTGTACTTAAAGAATGTTCATCAATGGCTCCAGTTCAGCCAGGAGGGAAGTATTGAATGGAATGCCATAAAAATTTGTTTTGGGTGCTGCTGTTTAACATTTTTAATCTATGAATTTGATGAGGGAGTTGAGGGGACTCTTACCAAATTGTACAAAGCTGGAAAAGTTTAATAACGTTAGATGAAAAACAATTCAAAAAGGGCTAGATAGGTTTGCAAATTGAAATGAATAGGGTGAAAATGAATGTTGAGAAATATAAACTAACAGTGTGATGCAGTTGCTGAAAAGGCATACGCTATCTTGGGTGCATGAACAGGAGCATAGAGTTCAGACCATACAAAGTTATCATTCCATTCTGCCAGCCAAACCCTATTTGGAGAACTATGCCCTGTTCTGGGCATCACAGTTTTTTAAAAAAGACATTGACAAGTCAGGCAAAGTTCAGAGAAGGCTACTCAGGCTTCTAAGTTGCTAAGAATCTGGAAACCAAGTCTTATAAGAACAGACAAATGACTTAAGTATGTTTAGAGAAAATACCTGAAGTTGATCTTCAAGTATTTAAATTGAACTCAACAGAACATGGTATGGATTGATTCTATATTGCTTATACCAGAATCAGTGAGTTAAAATACAAAGAAAGAGTCCAATAAAGGAGAATATTATTTGTAGCTCAGGATTGAAATGAGGGACCTTCATGCTCTCTGAGCTTGGATATTTTCTTGAAGACATTTTATTACCCAAACTAGTAACATCATCAATGCTAATACTGACAGGCTTGCCCTGTCAGTGTTGGTGAGAGTGGTCTTGGAGGTTCTTTGGTTGGGCTATTTATTGCTAGTTTGCTTGGCAGTTCCTTGATTGGGGTAATGCTTACTCCTTGATTATTAGTTTGATGGGGGCTGCGGTGGCTCACAAGGTAAGACACTGAGATTGCACTCCGCTGAGATCGGCAGCTTGGTGGTTTGATTCCTGTGAATGAATAAACCACATAGGGACAGTAAATGAACCTCCCACAATTGCCTATGGCATTCAGGCATCCCACAAGTAAGATAACACTGCCCCCCCAAAATCCTTTCACAGAGGCAGCCAGCTGCTTCGGTGATCCCTGGCTAACACGTGCCATATGCTAAATAAATTGGTGTGATGTTAATTTTGGAGTTAATTTCTGCTCATCTGGGTGTTGATTGCTGGTAGAGGGGTGCTTAGGTTTTTTTGTCCCCTTTTGGGTTGTTGTTTGTCTCTTTTGCGTGGTCTGTAGATATTGTTTATGTCTTACGTGTCTAATGATGGCTAATATGTCAAAGTGCCAGGCTTCTAGAAATTCCCTGATGTTTTGAGACTTGACTTGATCTAGGATGGTCACAGTTTCCTAATTGAAACTATGGTTAAGTTTGTCTATATGTTATGAAAGAAAGATTCCCAGGCTAAAATACAGAGGAACATCCTGACTGTACAACTTGTCAGCCTCCGATATAAGCTGCATGTGAAGAGGTGAACTCTCCTTCACAAAGGATCTTCAGAAACTGGATGTATTCTGCAATTTCATTTGAAATATTGTCATTAGAAGACCATATGTTTGAAAAGGAAATCAATCTTACCATTTTAAAATATGTTTGCAAAAAGCTTTTCTCACACAATGCAAATAAAGCTACATGTATTCCATATTTATAGGTATATTTTATAGATTGTGACTTAAATGTTATAGGTATGTTAGTGAATGAAGGGAACATTTATGCATAGTTAGATGAATGAATTGCATTTTATGTGCAACAAAATTTATATGTGATAAAATGTTTAAACTAAATGACTGTCTGGATTTTTGCAACTCAGCTATAGCTACAGTAGCTATGAAATTTCACACTGTCAATAAAATATGTTTTTATATGAGCATGAGGTTCACATATGAGATTATACATAGATTCATTCCAATTCATCTACTTCAGTATTGAAATGGTTCTTCTAAAGAAACTCTGTCTTTGTTTCCTTTAGCCAGAGGAAATATTAAAGTGTGTGGAGAATTCAATTTTGCAACTGATCCTGAAGCTGCTTACATTGTCTTAAATGAGTATACCTGCCCAATGTATATTGCAGCCTGGGAGTTCACCTGTGCCTGCTCACTGCCCTGGGTAAGAGCGTTCTCTACTCTTTTGTCTATACTGGGAATTAGTTTCACTGAATTCAATGGGGTTTCATGCTGGGTAGATAGGTTAATTAAACTAGGTTGCATAGGCTCACTCTATTCGCTTCTGGAATGGCGCTGTGCTGCCTCCGCTGTGTAGGAAGGTCATGCAGAGGAGCAGCTGATTCCCAAAAATCTACCAAAAAAGGTAAGTGACCAATCCAGGGGTGAAATCAATTTACCTTTGCTACCAGTTTGCAAATGTGAGTGTGTTAGCAGGATCTTCCGTGCATGTGCAGAGCTTCAAAAATAGGACACAATGACATCTGGGTGGGTGGGTGGAGCCTCCCACCGCCAGCACTACTGGTTTGGCCGAACCTGGTAGAACCGGTCGAATTTCACCCCTGGATCAGTCTGTGCCGGGAATGGGACGGAGGGTTTCAGACCCAATAGGGTGGGAAAGCAGGCCCAAAGCAGGATGATAAGGAGGAAATAAGCAGTTGGTCTTATAATATATGGATATAAATGTATTTATTTAATATAAATGTTAAATAAAATCATAAAAAAAAAAAAATCTTAAGGGCAGGCAGATTGCCAAGTGCCTTTTTTTTTCACATGACCACTGAATGAATGGTCATAAGTCAAAGACTTCTTGTTCTTTCAAATGCATCAAGGAAACATATTGAAGACTTCTAGGCTAATATCTTCAACATTCACCACAGCCTAACATTCGCCCATTTAAAATTATTTTATTGTGATCAGCTGTTCTCCCGCTTTTAAATCGCAGTACAAATGTACAGAATATTAGGAAATTCATATTAGAAATATGAAACTAGCTGATGATTTATAGCTATAGAAAATACTTAGGGTACATTATTTGTATTTTGTTCAATTTCATCAACTCTGGTTGGCTTCCATAAAAATATAATTAAAATTATAAAACAATGAATTGAAAACATTTGTTGTCACATATTATTTATCAGAAAAAGAAATCTGTTGTAAAAGCATACCCACTTGATATCAGTGCATATAACTATCTTCTTCTCTCGTTTGGAATAATAGGGCTTTGTTTCCCCCACCCCCAAGTCTTTACTAAGGCTTTTAGGAGTTTCTTATCACAAATTCCTGTTTGCTCTTCAAGAATTTAAAGCAATGCACATATTTTCTCTGGCTCTCACGGCAGCCTTGTGAGACATCATAGTTTGAGAGACAGTGACTGTTTTAAAGTTTTCCAATAAGTTTCTGAAATTTGAAAGAGTCTCAGATCTTTCCAATTCAATCTTACATCCTAAAGACTACACCATTTATGCTGCATTTATTGTCTGTATCCATCCATTTAATATGTTCAGTTTAGTGGTGGAGTATTGGTAGGGAATTCAAGAAAGATACAGTATAAATTGATGGGGCTGAGATATTAAGCACCACACAGAAGCATAGCCAGTTGGAGTGGTGGGGTGGCCTAGAAGTGGAGCTCTTGCCTCACAATCAGGGGGCTTTGATCCTAGGTAGAGCCAGAGATTTCTCTCTCTGGGCACACTGAGAATATATCTGCTGAACAAAACTCCGAATTGGCGACAGGAAGGGTATCCAGCTATTAAAACACTCGGCTAGCTTCGTTCAGTTGCCCAGACTCCCACCCCATAAGGGATTTATGGGGTTGTTAAAAAAAGATGCATAGCCAGTTACAGTAATTGAAAAATCTGCTGGTGGCTTGTATATCTCTGTGTTTGATCCAGTTAGGGGGTTTGGGTCAACTAGTTTCCCTACCGAATGCTAAAGTAGTCTTATCTTAGTTAATAGCTTTTTCTTTCCTGGTTCTGGTTCTTCAGAATTCATTCTCACCAAAATGATGCTTGGGATTGGTTCAGTGAAAATTTAACAAGACAGTAAAATACTTCTATCCTTATTGGACCCCACAAAATATTTTTAATGCACATGTACAGATACCCATACACCTTAGAAACAATTTTGTATTAACTGCAAAGGGTATCTTTTTTTAAAAATAAAACTTCTAAGGCAAAACATTTTATTATTTTAATAATAAATAATAATTAATAAATTAGCAGGTAATCTTTCATTAGATTTATGCTCTGTATCATAGTAAACTTATTTTTCCTGTTTGGGAGGCTTACAGGGCAACATGGATGACTTAGGTCTTCCTTAAAGTCTCCGAAACAAAACGTGGGCAGAAATTCCAAGGCCACTGGTTCCGGCAACGTAACGTTATTGGGTCTGCTTCTTTTGGCTTCTAGCAAGATAGATGGGACTCCTCCAGGCTGATTGCCCATTGATCTCTCCCCCACCCCCGATAATTCCCTCTTTGGCTGGTTTTTAATGTTCAACATTTTTTTTTCCTTCCTAGGAATTCTACCATGAATGGGTAAATCAGAATACCGAGAAAGCCAGGTTCATGAAGAAAATCTTTGCTCATTCTTTAAAAGTCGCAAAACCTCACTTGGGCTTTGTTTCTTGCGACTCTTATGCTATGGCTGCTGCCATTGATGAAAACTTTGTCACGGAAGTCACAATAATTGGCGTAAGTGTTGAGCTCAGTGGCTCTCTAACTAGAGGAATGATGGTAATGGATTGGTGTGACCATCTGAAAAAGGAACACAAAGCATTTGTAATGAAAAACTGTGATTTAGGCAAATTCCAGGCTCTTATGATGGATGCTTTGAAATAAAATGGGCTTGTGAGGTTCTCTTCCAAATATTTATGTTGTTACTGTTGCTGGGTAAACCAAGATTTGCCGGAAGCACTATAATAGCTCCCCATGCGAACGGTTCTATTTGAATTCCTTTCTAATTGTTCTGAAGAATAAAATAATCTTTTAATATTTCTGCCAGCATGAAAGATATATATAGATAGATAGATAGATAGATAGATAGATANGGAGCAGTATTGGTTACTGTTTTGTATAGTCTTAATTCACTCAGTCCATGTATGCTGTAAATGTGCTAGTCTTTAGGGTTTAAAAAAATAAAGAACTGACAAGCATGCTGAGATGACTATTTTTTTTTTTTAAAAAATCAATATGATCACAGGTTTAAGCCCTATATTTGTTTGTACTCTCTAAAGTTTTCATACCAATAAATTCTCATGGTGGTAGCTCTGATCTATTTTGAAAAAAATATATATTCTGGAATAAACATTTATAGACTACCTGCTGTATAGTCTCTGAAAGATTATGCCAGAATATCTTTCTCTAGGTCTTGGAAAGTGTTTATTTCTTTCTATAAGTGTATTTATGGTTTTAATATTTTATTTTCTAAAAAAACTGATGACCAAATATAGTGGTACTTCTATGTCCTTATCAATAAGCTTTTTTTTTACAGTTTAGGTCAAATCACTGGGTACTTTACAATGAAAATAAATAATTAAAGATTTATTTGTGTTATTTATACTAAATTTGTAGTTTCTAATAAAAAAATAAATCAAAATAAAATCAAACACTAAATGAATCATGAATCCAATAGCAGAAAATCAGACCAACACAAAGCTAATTGTAATCTTCAAAAGATGTAAATATCACCAACATTTCAGTATTCAACGGCAGAAATAGAAACAGACTTCAAGTACAAGAATGAAACTGTAGAATCAAAGAACTGGTTGTAAACTTGGGAGAGCCTTATGATGTATGGTCAAACTTGTATAAGGTTAAAACCAGATTCTCAACTTTCCACAACCATGCAAACCCACTGAGTGACTTTGGGCTGATTATTCTTTCTTAACCAAATCTATTTCCTAAGGTGATTGTGATGTTGGGGCACCTGTGATGGCCAAGTACTAAGGCAGGACTTCCCTTAGATCCTCCCTCTTATAATCTTCCTCCCTACCTTCCTTTTTTCCTTCCCTCTTCCTTCTCCTTCCCACTTCCTTCACTGCTTTTCTTCTGGGGTGTTGGCTATTCCTGCCAGCTTAATCTCATCTGCAAATTTGATAAGTTCCCCTTCTATTACCTCATCTAAGTCATTTATGAAGATACTGAAGGGTACTGGGTCTAAGATGGAACCTTGGGGTACCCACCACTTACTTCCCTCCATGTGGATGGACTACTTGTTGAGTATGGTTTGTCAGCCCACTACAAATCCATCTGGTGGTGATGTTGTCTATTCCACATTTTTCTAGCTTACCAAGAAGTAGATTGTGGTCTACTTTGTGAAATGTCTTACTGAAATATAAGTATACTATGTCCATAGCATTTTGCTGATCTACTAATTTAGTCACTTTATCAAAGAATGAAATAAGTGGTGATTTTTATTATATTTCAGTGAAATATAAAGTTGGGAAATTCAATTCCATTATCTGCCACATAATTTTGGCTCTAAGAATATTGATTTAAATTGCTGCTTTTCCAATTTCTTTTATTCAATATATTGTAAATATGTATTGTTAATATTCTAACAATACACTGGGTAATTATTAACAAAATCCGGTTAAGTTCCACAGCGTTGAAAAGTAGCAAGTATTCAGACTGAGGGAACTTGAGAGCTGAACAGGTAAGGACAAAAATATTTTTCATGAAGGCAAATATACATGTTCCAGGATAATGTTGCAGGATCCAATCTGGGTCAGTCACCAGGACCAGAGGTTTAGTCTTCCAAGCTTTCATGAGGATGGGCTCCAGTATGAGTCCAAAAGCTCAGAAGACTAAATCTCTGGTCCTGGTGACCAACAAACTAAAATGTATTCACTTATTTATACAGTCATCCATCTCACCACAGTGACTTGGGAGCTAACAAGTTTTAAATTCAAAACAAAAATAATGTAAAATCAAACTACATGCAAAATGACAATTGAGGTAAAGCCAATTTGCTACAAATTGATAACTACGTGGACTCCAACTAGTAGTTCAACCCCTATGCATGTGTTCGAAATGTTATGAAATGCCAGCAGGGTTGATATCCAGAATCAAGGCCAATCTAAACTTGGGGAGGAGCGGGGAGGAGTGTTCCAAAAAGAAAAGAATTTTACAACAGAAACAGAATGGTACAACAGAATTTGTAATTCAGTGGTGGGTTGCAGGCGCTGGTACACACCGGTATATGCATATCAGTGTCTGCCTGGAGCACCGGGTACCATTCCGGTACAGTGCTCTGGAGGGCCTGCCCGTCTGCCTGAGCTCCTTAACTGTATTTGAGCTCTTCGGCGCTTCTGCATACGTGCACAGCGCCTGAGTGACACTCTGCCGAGCAGCTGGAGCGTCGCAGAGGTTCACGGAGGCGTCGCAAAAGGTAAGGACGCATGCACGTGCTGCGTGCATGTGCGTTGCGCATGTTCATGTGGTGGATGCCGGGCCCAGTTGCAACTGTACCGGTTGCAACGGGATCCGGAACCCACCACTATTGTAGTTGCAACTATTTGTGAAAAGAAATGGATAATGTTTATAACAACCAGCTACGAGTGAAACAAGCTCAACAGAACAAAGGAAGACTATGGTGGGTCATCGGAAAAAAATCCTGTTGACCTAACTTCACAGAATATGGATTGTAGCAAAAACAAACTCTGTCTGTACTATTAAATCACAAACTCCAGCACTTTTATCATTAGCTGTGGCAAAGCTATTGAAACACAAATAGCCTCTACGATAATGCATCCTGAAATTGTTGGCCTTGTAAAATTACCCTTTAGCCTTTTTGGATGTTGCTGGATTTGGGGGGGGGGGGACGACACACTGGTTTGACATTCCCATTGCAGTGTGTGGAATTCGGGACAGAAGAAACAGACAACACAACTGCACAAAGCCAATGTTTTACTGCTTTTTCTTCACAAGTAATTTGATCATGCCTGATTGTTCGTGTTTTTTTTAAAAAGTTCATAATCATAAGGTCCCATTAGTATTTTATAGCTCCCTACTCTGCTCAGTTGATTTACATTCTCTTATTTTGGAGCAAGAAATGGAAAAAAAAGGTTTAGCATGATAAAATAGCCCTGAAGGCATTTTTTTTTAAAATCCACATCTGACATGAAAGTGTCAGCAAATTTCTATTTAGGATGAATCTTTATTACTAGAGTGACTTCAGAAAAAGTGGCTTTTATGCATATTATGGTGGTATCCACGTTCTTTGATAGAGTGCCTCATGAAATGTAACTGAATGGAAGGCTGAAAAGCACAATCCTAAGAATTGGTAAGAAAAGCATTATTAAACTAGTACTTATCATATGGAGGACCATTCTTCCTGAAGTTTTCTTTAACTTGTAATTAACTTACAAGTATTAGAACTGATCTGCATATAAAAAAGAGTCAAAACAGTAACAGCTATTTACAAAATGTACGTATACAATTGCTTAACATAGAAAGACAATAACATATAATTTTACCGCTTAATTCTTTCTGGATGTTGATCACCGGATGAGACTTGTACAGCATTCCTGGATTCTGAAACAAGCGTCTCATTTTCTAGACATTAAGAGGGCCAGGTTAATCTATCACAGCCAATATTGGAAGAAATCCAATAGCAACTTTTCTAATTAACAAGCTGAAAGATATACACTTTTATGAGGTTATTTCATCAGATGCATGTTATAGTTAAATTGAAGTAAAATTTAAAAACAAGTACAATTGAGGGAAGAAAGGGTGGTTACATGTGAAACATATTATTACTTCATCAATTAGCAATTGTAGTGTTAAAAGCTCTCTTAAACTCTCCAAGCCTACCTTTTGCCAAACTCCACATCACAATTGAATTTGTTCTGTGACAGATATGCTTAACTCACAGAATTAAGCCAGGCATTCAGGAGTCCAAACTACCCACTTAACCAATAGACAAAAGAGCCAGATCAATTCCTAGAAGACTACAGAACTAGAACTTCACTGATTGTCACCTACAGCTCTCGCCACCGAAGCTACAACCTTAATGACAAGGACGGTGCCTTTTCTCAATCCGCAGATGGCATTCTTCCATACACAATGCCATATTTGCATACGATCACCTTGAGACTGATTAACACAAGTGACAAGAACAATGAGGTTAACATAATAACTAGACATTTCAACAAACCCAGATAGTATATATACAGGAAAGGGAGCAAAGTAGCTAACAGCTACCTCACAGGCCTCCACAGTTTGTAACACAAAATTAAAATAAGTCCCGTTCTCATGCTCCTCTTCCAATGGTGTTATCTGCCAGCATTGTTCCTCTGCATTCTACTTTAGAGAAAGTCAAATGTTTTGCAAAAGAATCAACAGACACAAGTTTGACATCAGTTCTCAGCACAATGCAAAGAATAGCAGAGCCCTTTAATTTCCCAGGATATTTCATTATAGATTTCATAGTTGTCTTTTTACGACAAAACTCTGCCAGCACCATAGAGTGAGTCCACCAAACTGACATCTCAAAAAGTTTTCAAGTTATCTTAGAAGTTTCCAACAAATATGCTAATTGATGTTCTCCAAATCTGTCTCACAAGTAACATGCAGCTGCATATCCAACCTTTTCAAGTTCTACACCAATTGACCCACTCCAGGCATCTGATAAACGAACTACATATTATGAAAGCTTCTGCCCCTTAATTCTTTTTAGCTTGAAACGATGCTGCCAGACTGATGATTTAAGAGAGATGTGGCAGTTTCTAACTGGAAGCCTTTATAGGCTAGTGCCATAGAACATGAACGATCTCTTTGGCCTCACACGGGCAGGAGAGGAGCTGCGGATGGTATAACACTCGAATCTGGAGAGCACTGGAAGCATCTGAATGGATGGTTTGGATAGTCTGATTTTGTGCCAGAAGATTAGTAGGATTCCGGTTTCAATAAAGCTCTTCCACCTTCAGCCGGCTCTTTCACAAACCCACAAGCGCCTCTTCTTGGAGAAGCGATTCTTGGTCCGTTATTTCCCCGAAACCAGGTCTGGCAAAGCCACAACGAAGATATTAAAGCGTTCGATGCTGAGCCGATTATCCTTGAAGAAATTGCACTTTAGGGCAGTGGTCTCCAACCTTGGCAACTTTAAGACTTGTGGACTTTTAACTCCCAGCTTTGCTGGCTGAGGATCTCTGGGAGTTGAAGTCCACAAGACTTAAAGTTGCCAAGGTTGGAGACCACTGCCTTAGGGCTACACCGCAGGCAGCCAGGCAACTGCCGGGCGGATTTTCACGGCTAAAAATATCTTGGTACGTATCTGCTGGTCTAGTTTCCAAGGGCTCGTGGCTCAGCCGCCTCGAGGCCCAGCTATCATCTCGTCTTGCTGGCATCCAGTTCTCCATTAAGGCACCCTCCCTACCGGACTGTCTCTCGAGAAGGGTCTAGGCCTGCAACGCTCGGGAGGCGGCTGCCATAACGACGACGGGAATTTACTCCAAAAGAATGCAGTTGGGCAGCTTGTGATTGGCCGATTCCGAGCGCTCGTTCTCTGTTCAGTCCCGCCCTGCCGGAAGGAATAGATTCGAGCTCGGTCTTTGCTGTCGTCGCTTCGGCAGGTTCGCTCGTCCGCTAGCTCGTTTTTTCATTAGCGCCTTTTTATCCCGCTTTTTAGCCTAGTTTCGTCTGTCCCTAATAGCGTCTGTTAGTGAGAAAGGCGAATCCATGTTTTATCTTTATTTCTTTTTAAGGAAGCAAATTCCTCGTCTTGGATTTTAAGGCAAAATGCGCTTAAACAGTCCAGCTGCTCCAAGTTTAACTTGTTAAATCCTTTCCCTCAGACTGCTCACTGCTTTGTATAATGTGGTTTATAAACTGGACCAAGTTCAAAAGGTTTCATAAAATGACCTGGGGCATTTAAAACTCTATTTTGCTTTATCTTCTGATATCAAGAATAACACTACATCACAAGCAGTTCAGGAAGCACATCTATTCGCAGTTCTTAATACAACTCACACAGGTGCATTTTCCTAGGTAGCTGTCATAAAATGCAAATATCTCCCATAAAATTATAAGCAATGTCCTGGTGGATTGGATCCTGGCTATTTAGTACAATAGCCTGTTTTTATGGTGGCCAACCAACCCCCCCAAGGGAGCCCACTGGCCTCCTTGCAGACAGTTCTGCTAAGGAAGATGTAGGACACTGAGTTAGGCGCGTCCTCTCCGGAATCATCCTCACTATCATGGGAACCAAGGGAATATTGGAAAGATTCCCTTAGTAGAGATTGGTTTTTGCCCCATCACACATAATAATTATATATCTGAAATTTAAAATACAGAAGACTAAAAAAAGTGAGCTTTGATAGGGGAGCAGTGCAGGAAATGATTGACTGAGAAAGCATCTTGGATTTTAGTACCTGCTTCATACCTGGACTTACTTCAAATGTTAGCTTATAAAATCTGATGAGGACATTAACTGTTTCCTTTCAAATTATAAATGTAATAAGCTAACATTTTCCATCTTGCATTATAGCAGTGGTTCTCAACCTGTGGGTCGGGACACCTTTAGGGGTCGAACGACCCTTTCACAGGGGTCGCCTAAGACCATCGGAAAACACATATTTCCGATGGTCTTAGGAACTGAGACACCAATTTTATGGTTGGGGGGTCACAACATGAGAAACTGTATTAAAGGGTCACAGAATTGGGAAGGTTGAGAACCACTGCATTATAGGGAACTGGTAACCATTCCATCTATTTTCCTTCACTCTCTTTACTCACTCCAGCTATCTTGATAATGAATTCCCAGACACAGAGGCATTGTCTTTATAAGCACATATGCAATGACTAAGAACATGTGTTTGGGGCAAGACAGAAAGATCCAGACTCACCTGGGTCAAAGCAGAAATTCTCCAGAGGAGTGATTTAAAACCCCATGTCTTATAGAGGGAAGTAAGGTAACTCCGTGGCAAGAAAAGCCCCCAAAATGCTGGAAAGGAGGCTAAAAGAATAACACAACAGAATTGAAAGGGACCTTACAGGTCTTCTATCTAGTCCAAACCCCAGCTCAGGCAGAAAACCCTATTCCATTTCAGGCAAATGGTTGTCCAATCTTAAAAACTTGCAGTGTTGGAGCACCCACAAATTCTGGAGACAAGTCATTCCAATTGTTCTAATCATCAAGAAATTTCTCCTTAGTTCTAGGTTGGTTCTCTCCTTCATTAGTTTTCATCCATTGCTTCTTGACCTGCCTTTGGGTGCTTTGGAGAATAGTTGACCCTGCTTTCTTTGTGGGAGCTTCTCAAATATTGGAACACTGCTATCATGTGACTCCTAGACTTCTTTTAATTAAACTAGACATATCCAATTCCTGCAACTGTTCTTCACATGTTTTAGCCTCCAATCCCCCTAGTTATCTTTGTTGTTGTTCTCTGCATTCTTTCTAGAGTCTCAATATCTGTTATTGTTCCGACCAAAAATAGATACAGTATTCCAAGTGTGGTGTATTGCATTCAGTTTTGGTTGCCATGGTGCAAAAATGATATTGAGAGAAAGAAACAGAGATACCATCTCCTCAGCACTTTGGGGCATGTTGGGATGTTCCAGAAAAGCTCCTAAAAGCATGTGGTAATACCAAAGCATTCCTTTCAATGTGCATTCCCCACAGTGTACTTATTTGCTATCTTGTAATCTCTTCCTATCCAATAAGTATAAATAATAATAATAATATCATCATCATCATTGTCATCGTCATTTTAGCCATTGTCTATCCACTGCAGGATGTTGGCCTCTTCCACATGTTTCCTGAGATCCAGGGATTGAGGGCCGTTTTTGAGATTGTATTGGCATATGGAAGGAACAGGCCATAATTTGCCATGGGGGTCCAATGCAGGTTGGCAGATGTGATCAGTGTTAGTCTGGGGTATCCATCATGGCCTGTTCGCTTTGGGAGACCCTTCTGGACATATACGTACATATCTGATGACATAACCCTACAATTTCATTTATTCACCCAAACCCCTTTGGCTCATCAAGGCCCCAATTGCAGAATATTGTTTAAAAATGATATTCAATGATAAACAATTTAGGAGGGGTCTAGCTGCTCCTAGGCAGATTTAAGTCAGAATTTGGGATTGGTTCTTGTTACTTTCATCAGTTATATTTTGATCTGATTTCAGTATATCCTTGTTTCGGTCTACCACAGTATACTGGTGCATTCTCTGTGCACTAGTATGTTCAAATAGTGTGTATATTTTTTTAAAAATAAAATATGAATGTACATCATAGGGTTGATCAAACCCAATATTCATCAGGATCATTTATGAAAGTTATTCTAGGCAAGCCTGCAAAAAAGTTATATTCTGTTCAAGTCTGGCCTTGCTCTGGTTCATCCAGCACTTGGTTCCTATCTGTCCATAGTACCCTTTCAATACTGGTTACAGCTGATACACAGGTTGTTTTTTAAATTATTGATGTTCCTTTATTTCTATAGATATTTCTGACATGAAGAAACTTTTGTTGATTGATGCTGATTGTGGTGTTGATGATGCTCAAGCAATTATGATGGCTCTTGCAAATCCCAGTGTAGAAGTCCTGGGGATTACTTGCACTTATGGGAACAACCTGTTGGAAAATACATCAAGAAATGTACTCCGTGTGCTGCAAGTTTGTAATAAGCTTGAGGTAATTGCAACTGAACAACCCAACACATTTGGTATAGCATTGTGTGTGGGACTCACAAAATCAGATCTTGGCATGTGAGATTGGTGCTTATTTGCTTATGTGTAAGATTCACTTTACACATAAGAGAAGTGTGGCCACACCACTAATTCTCAAAAAGCAGTTGCTTGCCTTTTATTAAAAAACATTGATGTGGCTGTTTTAACTACACATATGATTTTTTGGATGGGGTTAAATCAACTTCATGGTTTGCAGTAGGAACTGTTACCACTATGATTGATTACTGTGTGTTCATAGTTTTGGTCTGAAGTGGAAACTTCAATGTATTTATTTGCTTGGTTTCCTACCAATCCATATAGGGTTTTCCAGATTGAGGAAGAACACAATTACTACTTAGCAATAATACAGGCACTTGTGCTGCTTTCTTTCACTCGCATTTGACCTTCTCCCAAGCAATAGCATGGCAGAGTTTGCAAAAAAAAGCTACACCTTGACACAGGTCTGGGAGATGATGGAAGGAGAATGGAGGAGATGTATGTTTTGGGCCTCTTCAGTCACCAGCAAACAGAATATAGCAGCCAAATGAAAGAACATGTTTTCCCTTCAGAAGAAGGGGATGGTCCAAAAGAGGAAGGGAAGTGTAGGAGCCCAGAGAGACAAAGCACTCACATGTCATATACATATACATATACATATACATATACATACACACACACAAACACACACACACACACACATATGTGACAAATGTTTTTAAATGCGATAAAATATGTTTGAAATAAAAAAGTGGGTGGCTGGATTCGTAGAGCAATTCAATTATTTGACATTGTTATTTAATGTTAGGCAGATCAATAGTTCTTTAAAATTCATATTATATTGGCATCTTTTCACATATAGATTCCAGTTTATCCTGGAGCTGCTGCTCCTCTACTTGGTGGACCTGTTATAGGGGCACAGTTCCATGGTGAAGATGGATTGGGCGATGCTCCTGATCCTAATGCCCCAGGAACAGAACTTCTGCAGAAGGAAAATGCTGTGACTGCAATATTAAGAATAATCAATGGGCGGCCAGGTCAGGTGAGATGGTACAGGAATCATAAATATTTATCATAAATTTGGACTAGAACAAAGTCTTGCTTCATCTTCAATGCTCCCCAGGGTCTGAATTCCAGCACAACATTTTTAATCTACATAGCCAGTATATGAAAAACATTTTTTTCCTGTATCTCTTTGTTTTCACAACTTGTGGTTCTCTAGAATTTGCATCCCAGGTATTACTTGCATGCTGCCTGGTGCTCAGAAACTTTGGATGGATAGATATGGAAGTTAAGGTAGCCCTACTGTTAACACAAGGAACCTAGAAAGAAGAAACAGAGGCATCAGAACAAGGACAAAACTAGGCTGTACCAAATAAAGTTACAGTACATTCCTTATGAGTACAGCAAAATATTTTTTGACTTTCAGGTCAAGATTTACTGATTATACTATTTCCAAATGGACCAAAAAATACGATCACAACAGTTTGATCTGAAGAAGTGAAGCCTAATCAACTAAGAAAAATTAATATAGTGTTACAGTTATGTGTTTTAATAATATTCAATAAATAAATGTATCTTTAGGTATCTCTGGTTGCTCTTGGTCCACTGACGAATATAGCATTAGCAGTGAAAATGGACCCATCACTTCCCAAGAAACTTAAAAATTTGTTCATCATGGGAGGAAATACTGAATGTAAGTGAACTCAAGAGGACCTATTTGACGTGTTTATGCTGCTAATTTGGCAGATGCATGCTTAAAATTAATTTTAACCTGTTTGTTCATTTTTTATGGGAAAAAAATCTAATTATACTACCTAATTCTGGCTGCTTAGATAAAGCCTGACTGCTTTAATTCAAATCTATTTCTACCAAGTGTATGCATGCGTATCCTAAATATTTTAACTCAGGGGTGGTTTTCAGCAGTTTTACTGCTGCTTAACTCGTGTGTGCGGCTCGTGTGCTGAATGTACGCTATGCGCTCAAGTACAGTTCAGCGGAATTTTTGGGGGGGAAATCTAAAAAAAGATGGCAGCGGTGATGGCGGTAACCAAGGAACCGGTTCGGGGGCATGGCCAGCCTCGGTCACTGCCAGTTCTGCAACCCAGGCCAGCATACCACTGCCGGTTTGACTGAACTGAGCTGAACCGGTAGGAACTCACTTCTGGCCATAGTGTATCTGGACCTCAGCAAAGCTTTTGACAACTTACCTTGTGATATTTTCCTTCATGAAATAGTAAAACATGGCTAGAAGGTGCTACTATTTAATGGACACTGTATAATGACTGTACTTAAAGAATGTTCATCAATGGCTCCAGTTCAGCCAGGAGGGAAGTATTGAATGGAATGCCATAAAAATTTGTTTTGGGTGCTGCTGTTTAACATTTTTAATCTATGAATTTGATGAGGGAGTTGAGGGGACTCTTACCAAATTGTACAAAGCTGGAAAAGTTTAATAACGTTAGATGAAAAACAATTCAAAAAGGGCTAGATAGGTTTGCAAATTGAAATGAATAGGGTGAAAATGAATGTTGAGAAATATAAACTAACAGTGTGATGCAGTTGCTGAAAAGGCATACGCTATCTTGGGTGCATGAACAGGAGCATAGAGTTCAGACCATACAAAGTTATCATTCCATTCTGCCAGCCAAACCCTATTTGGAGAACTATGCCCTGTTCTGGGCATCACAGTTTTTTAAAAAAGACATTGACAAGTCAGGCAAAGTTCAGAGAAGGCTACTCAGGCTTCTAAGTTGCTAAGAATCTGGAAACCAAGTCTTATAAGAACAGACAAATGACTTAAGTATGTTTAGAGAAAATACCTGAAGTTGATCTTCAAGTATTTAAATTGAACTCAACAGAACATGGTATGGATTGATTCTATATTGCTTATACCAGAATCAGTGAGTTAAAATACAAAGAAAGAGTCCAATAAAGGAGAATATTATTTGTAGCTCAGGATTGAAATGAGGGACCTTCATGCTCTCTGAGCTTGGATATTTTCTTGAAGACATTTTATTACCCAAACTAGTAACATCATCAATGCTAATACTGACAGGCTTGCCCTGTCAGTGTTGGTGAGAGTGGTCTTGGAGGTTCTTTGGTTGGGCTATTTATTGCTAGTTTGCTTGGCAGTTCCTTGATTGGGGTAATGCTTACTCCTTGATTATTAGTTTGATGGGGGCTGCGGTGGCTCACAAGGTAAGACACTGAGATTGCACTCCGCTGAGATCGGCAGCTTGGTGGTTTGATTCCTGTGAATGAATAAACCACATAGGGACAGTAAATGAACCTCCCACAATTGCCTATGGCATTCAGGCATCCCACAAGTAAGATAACACTGCCCCCCCAAAATCCTTTCACAGAGGCAGCCAGCTGCTTCGGTGATCCCTGGCTAACACGTGCCATATGCTAAATAAATTGGTGTGATGTTAATTTTGGAGTTAATTTCTGCTCATCTGGGTGTTGATTGCTGGTAGAGGGGTGCTTAGGTTTTTTTGTCCCCTTTTGGGTTGTTGTTTGTCTCTTTTGCGTGGTCTGTAGATATTGTTTATGTCTTACGTGTCTAATGATGGCTAATATGTCAAAGTGCCAGGCTTCTAGAAATTCCCTGATGTTTTGAGACTTGACTTGATCTAGGATGGTCACAGTTTCCTAATTGAAACTATGGTTAAGTTTGTCTATATGTTATGAAAGAAAGATTCCCAGGCTAAAATACAGAGGAACATCCTGACTGTACAACTTGTCAGCCTCCGATATAAGCTGCATGTGAAGAGGTGAACTCTCCTTCACAAAGGATCTTCAGAAACTGGATGTATTCTGCAATTTCATTTGAAATATTGTCATTAGAAGACCATATGTTTGAAAAGGAAATCAATCTTACCATTTTAAAATATGTTTGCAAAAAGCTTTTCTCACACAATGCAAATAAAGCTACATGTATTCCATATTTATAGGTATATTTTATAGATTGTGACTTAAATGTTATAGGTATGTTAGTGAATGAAGGGAACATTTATGCATAGTTAGATGAATGAATTGCATTTTATGTGCAACAAAATTTATATGTGATAAAATGTTTAAACTAAATGACTGTCTGGATTTTTGCAACTCAGCTATAGCTACAGTAGCTATGAAATTTCACACTGTCAATAAAATATGTTTTTATATGAGCATGAGGTTCACATATGAGATTATACATAGATTCATTCCAATTCATCTACTTCAGTATTGAAATGGTTCTTCTAAAGAAACTCTGTCTTTGTTTCCTTTAGCCAGAGGAAATATTAAAGTGTGTGGAGAATTCAATTTTGCAACTGATCCTGAAGCTGCTTACATTGTCTTAAATGAGTATACCTGCCCAATGTATATTGCAGCCTGGGAGTTCACCTGTGCCTGCTCACTGCCCTGGGTAAGAGCGTTCTCTACTCTTTTGTCTATACTGGGAATTAGTTTCACTGAATTCAATGGGGTTTCATGCTGGGTAGATAGGTTAATTAAACTAGGTTGCATAGGCTCACTCTATTCGCTTCTGGAATGGCGCTGTGCTGCCTCCGCTGTGTAGGAAGGTCATGCAGAGGAGCAGCTGATTCCCAAAAATCTACCAAAAAAGGTAAGTGACCAATCCAGGGGTGAAATCAATTTACCTTTGCTACCAGTTNCCCACCCAGTCACATGGCTGGCAAGCCACTCCCACCCAGTCACATGCCGGCAAGCCACTCCCACCCAGTCACATGGCCAGCAAGCCACTCCCACAAAGTAGGCCACACCTACAGAAGAGGTTCTTAAAAAATTTGAAACCCACCACTGGTGTGCACACTCCAGTTTTGACACTCGGTGCTAAAAAGGTTAACCATCATTGCACTATTCTAAACATTCAAAAATACTTTCCTCTCTTTTCTATTTAACTATTTTTATTAGCAACAATCCTATGGTCCTGTTTTAGTGCCCCTTAATTTTGGAGGCCCTGTGATTGTTTGGCTCCAAAGCAACTTAGTTCTGATTAGGCAGTAGTTTTGAGGGAGCATTTTCAGTATAATGTTGTAATATAGTTCCTTGTGTATGTTATGGAGAACATCACAGTATAAACTTTAGAAATGAGGTTTTATTATATGTACTGTTCTTCAGCCATCTTTTCAAAACAAAAGATGCTGAAAAAATTTCCATCAATATTTTGCTTTCCTAAAACATTTATTTCAAAGGCAGTGATGTCATTCTTATCCCCTTAAAGGAAAAATACTGCTGCACACTTTCAATTGTAGGAAGTTACCACTCACCCCTCTCCTAGAAAAATGAGATATTTTAGGAAATAGTAAAAGGGCAGAATATTTTCCCTAAAATGAAGGCAGAAACTCACACACACCCCCGACCTTTGTCAATGGACCATTAAGGCCTGGCCCAGTCTATTTTACATAACAAAGATCTACCTCCTTCAGACAGAGCCATAGGAGCACTTGCCCAAAGCTCCTTCATTACATCACCACCCAGCAAGGCTCAACCAAGCCTGGGACACAAACACAACCTACAAAGTTACCCCTGCATGTCCCCTGGGAGTCTGACAACCAATCAGAATACAAGATCAAATTCAAAAGCCCAGAGAGGGCATAAAGCCCAGGCACTCTCAGCATCTCTTCCCTTTTTTTTGCCCAGGACCTCAAACCATGTGGTCCTGTCCACCATTAAAATCATATTTCAAAGCAGCCACCATGTTTCCAGTATCTTTTTCACCACTCGGAATTGAACCCAGATGGACACTTTTCCAACTCTATCCAACCAAATTACGAGAACCACTTATAAAAACAAAATGCACCGGTACAGTATATGTGGTACCTTACTCAACAGTAGTAACTGTGAAAGGCATCTTGGAGTTCTAGTACCATTTAAACCATTTAAATATGAGCCAACAGTGTTCAGCAGCTGCCAAAAAAGCCAACACATTTCCAGGCTGCATAAATAGAGGGATAGAATCAAGATCACAAGTGTTAATATTACTTTATAATGCCTTGGTAAGGCCACACTTGGAATACTGCATTCAGTTTTGGTCGCCTCGATGTGGAGACTCTAGAAAGAGTGCAGAGAAGAGCAACAAAGATGATTAGCGGACTGGAGTTTAAAACATATGAAGAATGATTGCACAAACTGGTTATGCCTAGTTTAATGAAAAGAAGGACTAGGGGGGACATGATAGCAGTGTTCCAATATCTGAGGGGTTGCCACAAAGAAGAGGGAGTCAAACTATTCTCCAAAGCACCTGAGGGTAGAACAAGAAGCAGTAGATAGAAACTAATCAAGGAGAGAAGCAACTTAGAACTAAGGAGAAATTTCCTGACAAGTTAGAACAATTAATGTGGAACAGCTTGCCTCCAGAAGTTGTGAATGCCCCAACACTGGAAGTCTTTAAGAAGATGTTGGATAACCATTTGTCTGAAATGGTATAGGGTTTCCTGCCTAAGCAGGGGGTTGGCCTAGAAGACCTCCAACTCTGCTATTCTATTCTATTCTATTCCATTCCATTCCATTCCATTCCATTCCATTCTTTATTCATGTTACCTTTCTGTTCAAATATGCTTAAGGTAGCATGTTTTTTTTAAAGTAACAGGAGCATTGAAAGTTAAATACAGATTGAATGAATTTGAAAATATGCAAACAAGATTTAGGTAGGTTGCATTCTTCCTTTACAAAAATTGCATGGATTTTAAGAATAAGAGTTATCTTACTCGTAGGTTTTCAGCCAGTTCAGAAAAGATGTTTCAAATATTAAACAGCATGTCCATTCAGGCACTTAAAACAGATTTTGCAAAGAACAGAAATGCTTTATAAATGAGGAGACAATAGTAGTTAGGAGAAATGAAAGTTGCAATGGGCACACTAATGAGGTAGAAATGATGGTGCCAGGATGTCTCATTTTCTTCATTTTTGGTGAAGGGGTATTTATAAAGTTTTTAAGCCTATTCTAGGACTTATACAAGAATTTTCAAGAGTTTCTCATGTTGGAAAATTCAACTTTTTAAAGACACTCTTGGAAGTCCTTTCAGGAATCACAGAAAAAAATTATTTTATTGATTATTTTATTTTATGGTTTGAATGATAGTTGTTTTTATTGTTTTGTGCATTGCCCAGGATTCTTGTTATAATATGAGCAGCTGTGTAAGACATAAAAATAATAAAATAAAATAGAAGAAGAAACATGTTGTCCTCCCTTTGCAGTAAATGAATGTACTGTTACTTCTACACATAATAACAATCATAAAAGATGCTGGGTTTGGCATAAGTTCCATTTTAATTGTTTAAACAAATTACACTCATCTATACAAATATACACCATTTGAGTCTCCCCTCCATTGCATTTTGGGTAAATGCAATAAAAACACACAATATCTAAAATAGCTTTGGCATTTATTATTTTTATGTCCCCTCCCCTTTCTTGGCTTTGTACTTTGTAGCCAAAAATAAATCATTGGGATGTTTTTCTGGTAATAGCTGACATCACAGCAGATGTGCATCTTTCCACATTCACACAGCATAGCTGCTAAGAGCTTCCACTTCAGCATATTGGTTTTACACTTAGGCACTCCAACTCTCAACCTATTCAGGGTAATCAAGTTAATATAAAGGAAATTGGATCTTTCAGCCAGATCCTCTTTAAATGCTATTCCTTGTTTGATGGTCTCCTTCCTCCAACTTTCAGTATGTTTACTTACGTAAGAAAACATATTTATTTTGCCCAAGTAAAATTACCAAATATTATAGAAATACTAACAATTTTAATGCACTTGAAATTATGTTCTATGGTCATTTATAATCAAAATAAAAATTTATCAATATTAATTTTTAAAAAGTCACATTCTGTATTGTAGCATAACATAAACAAAAATCTTTTTTGATTTAGCAGTCATAAATTGGACCAGGTTGTGATTGCATTACAATAGTTCATTAAACCTAGTTGCACATTAAAACACAAAGGAAGATAGTATCACAAGGCACTTATGGGTATGTTCTGCATAACCTTTCCTTGCAGATGCCTATGTCCCCCATAAGCAGCCCACATAAGAAAATTTAAAGAATATTTGTAGCTCAGGGTTGAATTGTGGTGTCCAGATGTCCTTTGAGCTTGGTTTTTTGCTTGCAGACATTTCATTAACAAACTAGGTAACTGGTTCCCCCATGCAAGTACTCCAAGTCTTAGTGGTGCTTGACTTTCTAGTTTAACCAATATTGGTTGAATTAATAACTACATATAAACATCAAATTGGGATGGTGACTCTATGGCACTTGTGCCAGAGGTGGCACACAGAGCCCTCTCTGTGGCATGCACGCACCAATCACCTGGTCTTTAGGTTTCTGGCACGCACATGTGCGCCAGAGCACTGGAAACCCAAAGGCTACCTGACCAGTGTGCATGTGTGCGCCGGCCACCTGGTCTTTGGGTTTCCGTCGCTCCGCTGCTCCAGTGGTGTAAAGACCAGCTGGCTGGCGCACATGCATGCACTGGAAACACAAAAACCAGTGTGCGCAGTGTCCAGTGCCTGCATATGCACCAGCCAGCTGGTTTTTGTTTCTGGTGCTCCAGCATGTGTTCACATGTGCATGCGTGCATTCTGGTTTGGCACTCAGTGCTGAAAAGATTCCCTATCACTGATCTAGGTAGATCACTTTTTCCAGTCTAAGATTCAAAGATTTCCATGAGGAGTCAAACTATGCAGCCATAATACATTTTACATCATCCATTCCAAGGGAAGAGTCCAATAAAAATTAGATATTTCTTTCCTATAATTGGCCCTCATTTTGTATTCAGAAATATGCTGAATTTCATAACTGGTCTTGAGTTCTTCTCCTCTCCAGGAGAACCTATCCAGCTCCTGGAGAACAGCTGACTCATGACAATGGAAACATTGTGAAGCAAGACTTCAGCATAAGCTGGTGTTTAAAAGGGTTTTGACTGGTAACAATTGAAAATGCATCTTCAAGCATCATCATTCAAGCAACTGATTGTGTAAGCCTTTTCATTCCCTTTTGTCTAATGAAGCAACTGCAAATCAATGCTGATCGCTGTGGTCTATGAGGTCCCAGGAGTGAATTAGGGTTCTTGGCTGAAAATTCCCTGCTCTAAAGTGAATGCTATTGTGCAGTGTTGGAGAAAAAGTTTGCAATTAGAGTAACTACTGGAAATGTACAATATGTATTAGCGCTGGTTTAAAAACATCTCCCCGATTACTCTGAAAGACAAAATCTAGCTTTCTAAATAAGAGGCAGTTTGGTGTAGGGATTAAGGCATCAAACTAGACACTGGGAGACTGGATGACCTTGAGCGAGTATCTCTCTCTCTAAGCTGGAAGAAGTAGGCAATGATAATCTACTTCTGAAAAACCTTGTCAAGAAAATTGTAGGACTTTGCTTGTCCAGTAGTCACAAATCAAGACATATAGCCCCTCCAAACCTAATCTCTCCCCCGCCCCCAGAATATCAGTCTTATTTTCCTAGCCCTGAAAAGATGTTCAAGCATTTTGCTCCTGGTATGTAATCGGTATCCAATGCAGAGTGTTTCACAGCCAAGGTAAATAGACTTCTTCCACTGTGGATGTATGACAGATGATATGCTGTTTGGTGACTCAGCTGCAGCAGCTGTCACAAAACTGCCAGCCAGCTCACTTGTAGCTGCCATTTAAAAAAATGTTTACATGGCACAGTTATTTTTATACAATGTTTTCCTCCACTGTGAACTTTTAGAATGATCAGAGTTCACTATGGTAGAGCAGCTCAGGCAGCAAACCTATTTAAGATGTCCTACAAAAAATCTTCTAGATTAAAGGAAAGCTTGTTTGATGATTAAACTATGATTTATTACATACATTTTAACCAAAACTGTGCCAAATGCTTGAAATTTAAACATACTTCAAAAGGTACATAAGGAAGACATAACACAAACATGAAAAAAGCATTATTTATTTTTCAAGTACAACTCAAAGTTGTATTGGTAAAAAAGCACAAGGAATCTTGTGTCATCCACAAGTATTGGCTATGCACATTTCAGTTCAACTTAAAATGCATTCAGGTTTACAAATGTACAAACAGACACATAAAATGTATAGTTTGAACAGAATGCTCTTAGATTCAGCCATTTTTTCTCCTAATGTTTTTACATTCATAGAGTCTTTTAACAAAGCTTTGTTTTTTAAAAAAATACTTTGCATTTTTAGCACGAGATGCTCCTTAAAATTAGGTTTGGGGCATAATACTGGAAAAAATTAAATCTAGCTTGGTAGATGAAAATCACTGTATTTTTTTTAAAACTTAGCAAATGTTTAAAAATTTAAATAGTAGATGGTAAAAAGCCAGAACAACAGTCCTAGTGCAGTTGATGACTGCACATAAAGATTCGCCAATCAGATCAGCAATTTCACACTACCATAATTGCGAGACAGACTTTAAGAGGAGCAAGTGATGAATGTATGATTAGACTTTAATGGTTTTTGTTGGGAGGAACAAAGAGAAAGAATAGGAACAAATGGCTTGTGAATTATGTTTCAGGCATGTTATAGAATTTACCATGATCGCATCTGAATAATTACAGTCACTTTATTTTTCTTAATTTCAATTTTCAGATGGGTAATGCACATTAGGCCAAGGATCCGAGCTTCTTCTCCCAATTGCAGGACTCCAAATTAGCCAAGGATTATACGGTTGTCCCAACTCTTCCGAATTGTTTACTGTGGGTGCAGAAACAGGGGAGGGTGGGGTGTTTTCACTCCCAAGGTCGATCCCTGGCAAATGGTGAGCTGGAGTGTTGAAAGGAAGGGAATTGTTCAAATTGCTTGACCAAATGGAACTGCTGAATGGAGTGGTAGTCGTAGACCACAGGCCACTTGGGTTGCCAAGGATAGACTGCATTATTTAAAAAAAACACACACACACAATATATTTATCATATACATCATCATAACTACCAGGTTAAAATGTCTTATTTTTTTCAGATGTTGATTAAAGATGTCAATATATTGAATGTTAAGATGCAGGACTTATCTGTTTATTCAATAATTTGAACCACAGAATTGACTTGGAGAAAAAATGTAAAAGCTATTAGAAAAACACAAATTATGTCTGAGAGTTGGAAAGGAAAATGGTGCCAGGCATTCAAAATCCAGTTATTATTGTCTATTAGTAAAGTGGAGTTCCAGCATTTCTTCTGGAGTCTATTTCCTGACCTGGCCTGTCTCAAAGGACAGACATCATTACTGAATGCCTGACAGCTTAATTCATGTTTTGCTAATAGCTTTTGCATTTCTTCTCTAGTTCCCATAAGAAATATTACAGTATACAATAGAAATGAAGGTGGCTTTTTTATTAAAAAAAACCTAGGTATACCTAGATACTTTTTAGTTCAAATATGCTATTGGTTATGCAACTTTCCATAGAAGACATAGAACTGACATCACAGATCAGATTCATACCCTGGAATACTTCTGTATCACTAGACTGATAATCAAGATATTTCCCATTGATATAGGTCAATGTGGGTTGGCAGTAGCCAACAATAATTAATCCTGCTCAATAAACCTAATTACATAGCACTTCAGACTAGGTCAGGTTTCACACCAATCCCCTGTTGCTCATAATGACTCTTGCCTCTCTGGAAGTGTATCAAGGATTTCCCATGCTATTTAATTTCAAAACTGTCATCTGAGTCTGAATAAACATGACCTGTAAACCCCACTAGAATCACTTATATCTACATCTACATTCAATAATCTACATATAAGCAGATTCAAGCTCTCAAATATGTAGGTGAATTCTTGAGCAAACTCCACTGAATCTGTATTTTATCCAGTTTTTTCCCTTTTTCAGTGGAGTGGAAAATAAATCTCTGTAACCTAAGAAAACCTAGACTACATTTTTTACTAAAATGAAAGATGAATATCAGCAAGCAGTATTTGTCTTGGGTGAACAAGGTTTATTGTTGTCTTTTTATTTTTTACTCCTTTATAATCCATCCAAGTGTTCAAATTGGGCAGGATATAAAAATGCAAGATAAATGCAAACATAAATGAAATAATCCAATTTTACTTTGCCCAGTATTTTATATAAAGAAAAGCAGAAATCTGAGGTTTCTCTTGAAAAACAATTCCACTATCCAAGTGTTGTGAAGCAGAGTTGCAAGGTAAGAAAGATAGTCTATATGGATGCATAATATTATAAGTAGGTCTTATTTGTTGATATACTGAATGAAGTTTTGAAGAATCTAATTTTGAACATTCAATTTTCACTTTATAGCACTTGAAAGACATGGCTTGTAATTGAAAGATTAACAGGAGATGTGTGCATATTGCACCCATCTAGGTGGATTAATCTTAGACCCAGATTTCCATTGTCCAGTTACGTTATTCCTTTATTATCTAAGAACATATTGGGTATTACTCTACAGTCAAAATTTAGTATTATTGAAAATAGAACAATTAAGTCCATGTCCCAGAATTGTCAAATAAATTTGTCCCCAGCAGTCCAAGTTATTGAAGAAATCATCTTAAGACACTTAAAGACAGTAGTGTGAGAAACATATACTTACTGAAGTTGTGTGAGTTGGGGATCCCGAACTTGTGGGCCAGGAAGGTACAAAATCTGTAGCTGGAGAATCCCAGATGGATGAGGGAACATTGCTAAACTCATTCCAGTTTCGCTGAGCATCCTGACCATAAACAGACTGTGACACTCCAAGTTTGCTGAAAACCTCTAAGAGATGGCAAGAAAAGTAAGGCAGATAACTTCTATTTTAAATACAAGGCCTTGCTTTTGAATAAATTAACAAAACATTGGCATCCTGAAATAGAAGCATCAAGGTTAAATCTCATCAGATATTAGCTGCAAGTGTATTGCAAATACTGTTTGAGAAGACTTTGCTATAATTTATTTGCAGCCATAGAGCAATTCAATATAAACATCCAGAATTTTGTTTTTTATATTGTTTTATGTCAGTCTTTTGCTGCCACTTATACTTTACTTTTTTTTTTTTAAATGTCTTAATTACTTTAATTTTGCTAAATACCTTAGCAGAGAGGGAGATTATCCTGGATTTAAAATGATTCCCCCCAAACCAAAAAACAAATGCGAAACTATTTATAAACTTAAGACAAAAATATTATGAATGCTTATCTTTTTACCTTACCAATCTATGCCAAGTCTAAATAAAGATAATCCTAGAATTTCTCTATAAAATGTGTACAGGTCTCACATGTGTGTACGTATACACCTCAGAAACCATGCTAATAATAAGGAAAGGGCCAGGCTAATAAAAGGTACTATTAAGAGATAGATTGGTTATAAAATGTATACAAGTACTCCTTGCTTAGTGACTGCCTCATTTAGTGACTGTTCATACTTATGAAAGGGATGAAAAAGTAACTTTGTGATCAATACTTGCATTATGACCTTCACAGGTCTGTAAAACAAAGGAAAGCTGAAATGAGACAATAAGGACAGTCCTGGCTTCACTTAGCAACTGTTTTTTTAACAACTGAGTTGCCACTCCTAATTTTGGTCGTAAAAGGACTACCTATGTATCATTATTAAATAAACTTATTTCCTAACTAACGTTTGTCTCATACACAGGAACACACAAAGGCAAACACCTGCATATTCTGTTCTATCCTTCCAGCAGAAATAGCCACCTCCCTCCCCCTACAATATAAGTGGAAAATCTTAATACTTCCATTAGAATATAAATGCAAAACTTGAAAACATCAATATTTAATATTTCTAATATTAGTCAGAATCATTAACTACTGTCTGAAGCAGTGCATAAGTATATTAATACGTTTTGGATGTTTTTATTCCACCTTTATTATTTTTACAAATAATTCAAGGCAGAAAACAAACCTAATACACCTTCCTACTCCTATTTTTCCCACAACTCCTCCTCTGTTAGGTGAGTTGGGCTGAGAGAGTGACTCAGCTAGGTTTCATGCAGCACTAGAACTCACTGTCTCCTGGTTTCTAGCTTACTGACCTATTTTCTGAGTTATGTTCTACTCACCCAACTTACCTCCAGTTAAATTAAAAGAGTTTCCAAATGCTGAGAAAGAGTTCAAAGGAGTAAAATCTGGGCTGCTAGGATTGCTAAGAGGACTCCACAAACCAGAACTAAGAGAAAAGAGGGACATTTTTGTTAGGAACAATCATTTCTATACAATAAACCCAAAATACAATTAAACATTATATGGACTATCAATTTCAGCATATCAAAATCATATTTAGTGAAAATACTAGTAGAAAAAATCTTGCTCTGAGTTATTGATATATGTCATGAGAACTGCACTTTAAAAAATAGATAATTTACAAAATCATTACATAGTAGAATTAAGTCACTTTTGGTTTACCCATATATATCAGAAAGGCATTATCATTCAATACTATGTTGGATTTTTGAGCCACTGCACTGTTCTAATAAAAACCTGTAGACATGCAATACTATGCTAATTGTCTTGTCCTTCAAGTTCAGAAAATTTAAATAAGACAAGTTTTAAACATAGAAAAACAGAGATGTAAACTTCTAAATCATATCCTAATAGGTTTAGAGTTTTTTTCTGTTTCAAAAAGATTACCTGTCAGAGCCATCGCTGTCCACAGCTGTGTGTGAAATGCTCATACAGCCAGAAGGCTCAGCTTTGATTGGTGAAGACTTTGTTAGGCCACTGCCACCTGGAAGTTTTAATTAGCAAATAAGATGATATTGGAATTGCAGGCTACCACAAAAATTGCTTTTCCAAGTTTCTGTGTTACCTGGGCTTTTATCATAACCAGCAGCTACAGCAGCAAAAGTAGGGTTTCCATTCCTGCCAGGAAGAGAAGCTGCCTTTGTCACCTTATGCTTGGCACCACTAAGCAGTTTGCTTTTCGAGTCTCTACAAAAGGTGAAAAAACATATTATTCCTTACAATGTACTAATATTGGATTTGTGGTGACAATTTATATCCAGAGCAGAGAGCAAAACAATGTGAAGTGTTAATATGATTTATAAAAGCTAACTATTACAAGTACAGGAAGTCCTTGTTTATTGACAGGAATTGGGACTGGGAACTCTGTTGCTAAGTGACATGGGTGTAAGGTGCAATATCATACACAAAGGCAGTTTTGGCACTCCTAGTATATGGTATTCTCATCCAAATCCATTCCTTTCATATTTGTTTTTAATTAACTGTTACTAACTCTTGTCAAATTATTTAGAAATCTGATTTGATTGCTAACAATGTAAATATATCTCAATGTTCTATAGAAACAGTTATCTTACGAGAATCTCTGAATAAATTGCTTCATACATTTGGAAGAGAAGACAAGTTTTCAGAACTTTCAGCCACAAAGAAAAGGCATATATTAAAATGTATTTGATACAATAAGGGTACTAAACTCTTGTGTTTAGTTTTTATCTGAACATACTTGCAGTTGTTCACAATGCTGCTATAACTATTCCGTGTGGCATAGGCCAATGACGCAGGTGGTGGAGATGGAGAAGCAGATGTTGGTGAGGTCTGTCTTTGTTTCAGAAAAGCATCTGCACTAATTGTTTGCAGAGACAACTTATAAAGGTTGTCAGAAGCTGGAATGAGAACACAATTGTTAAAAGTCCCTCATATTCATTTTCCTAAAAAACATTTAGTAGAGCACCAAACTGAATGTTCAAGTCAGATACCATATGCTACTTAAGGTTGCATGCTATTCAAGGCAAACTAGGGAGGGTGGTGAAGCCCAGTACATCTAATTTGCAAAAACAGTTTCAAACTCTCACCCACCTCTCCTCTATTTTTATAATAGTTTTTCCCAGGACAGTTCGCGGTGGTGGTGGTAGTTTAAAATAACTCTTTCAATGTAACTTAGTTCCAATGTATCTTACTAAAGGACTGTGTGAACACCCTTTTACGTTCATTTTAAAGAAAAATACCTGAATATTGAGATATCAAGTGCTAAGTCATTGTGCTGTGGTATTTTAAAAGTCTGGACATTTTAGCAATTTTCCCTATTCAGTGAAAAACTGAAATGAGTGTTGGTCTTGAACTGTACAAAAGAAATTCTTCCACTAAAAAAAGAACGAAAGTCTGATATATATGAGTTTCAGAAATTCTGTCAAGCTCTCACTGCAGAAGAATTTACTAAAGAGGAAGGTTTGAAAAATAGTATTTCTTGTGTAAGTGTAACTTTTGTGTTGGAGAACCCTGTGACTCCTTGGATGATGGTTTCAGAGAAAAGCAGTGGGAGTAGGAACAACTTCCAACTTCCTGCCACTTTCTCCATTGGCTTTCCTTGCAGGAAGCTTGCAGGAAGCATTGGAAATCACAATCATTGACCATGGAGATACTACAATGGTCACAACCTTACAAATAAAATTAGACTAAGTATTGTGGAAATTTCAATACACTCAAGTAATGAGTTCCAGATTTTTATACATTCTTTAAATTAGTGGGTTTTGGGCACCTTGATTAAAAAAACTATACCAGTATAATGCAGAGTTTAACTTGAGAATACAAACAGATAAGCACAATGACAATTTTAGCAGTATGTAGACAACCTTCAGAATAGATAGGTTTCACATCCCTTTCTCTTTATTGTTTTGAAAAAAAAATTCAAATTTATTTGAAAAAAAAAATTAGGCCTGTCATCATAAAGTTGAACTGACACATGGTAAAGGTGTTATGAAATGGAAAACATTGTTTTTTCCCCCAAACCTGACACAAAATGCAGTGTTTTGGAAAATTTTGCTGATTTTTTATAGATTGTCTCACAGAAATAAAACCTGAAACACTTGGCTGTTCTGTGCTTTGAATGAAACAAAATCAAGAGGGATGCTTTAGTGATTTTACAAGGGAGGTTAAGGCTGGGGAGATACTTCCTCCTCTTCTAGATGGCCTGTGTGCTCACCCAGCCAACCTCTGAACTTCCCAGAACCTTCCCTCTCCTCAACTATCACCACTGATGGCCCCCCTGCAGGATATTAAAAGAAACCCACATAATTATTTTTGGTCTAATTTTTAATCTATCCAAACCATTGAGAAGAACCCTATTTTCATTTATACCAGAAACAAAACAGCCCTTTTTATGCAGGTAAAATGTAATATAGCACATATGTTTCAATTTGGATATAGGCCAGTTAAAACAAGCTGTTCTGGTACAAAATGTTTGCATATCTATGACTTGGCGGATACTTACAGCTGCCTTCTTTGTGAATTGGTACTGAATCCCACTCTGGTGGTGGTGAATCTTTTTCTCCTTCTGAACTGCTGGTATTGCCTAATTCTTGACCAGAACCACTAGAGAAAAACTTTGCTAATGATGATGGCCTGCTATCCATCATTTTCAGACTTGTACCTACAGAGAAATAATAATTAAAAAAAGCTATAATTACTAAGATAGAATACTTCTTTAGCTTCATATGTAAGATCAATAAAGAATAAAAGAGAACTGAAGTCTGTTTCAAATTATTTTAAAAATCCTTATTTTACTAGTCATACCTTTCATTTTCTGGAAGTTTCTTGATTTGAGTCCATTTGTGCATGTATGCGGAGCAGATAGCTTTGATGAAAAGTTTTTGTGCTGTTTACTTTCAAGTGATGAACACGATGCCTCAAAGGAACTAAAGCAAAATTACAAGCACAAAAAAAAAGTCTTTGTAGTAGACTGACTGGTAAAAAAAAATCTTACATTCCTAAAATGCAGAACAGATTATCAGCTTCTCTAATCTTCATCAATAATAAGCCCAACCCTAATTTTTTGGTCCTAATATCCCTACCCTGAAAATAAGCCAAGGGGGATGGGCGTGGCCAGCATGAGTGTCGGCACGGGGGAGCAACTGTCTGGCTGCAGCCCGCTGGTCCCTTGGGGCAGTGCAAATACTACTTCTGCCCTTCTCTTTCTGGGTGCAGTGCTTCTGCTTGTTGGGCCACTTCCCCGAAGCCAGTAGCAACGCGAGCAGTTGCTTTGCTTTTTCCTTCTTTTTGGGAAGCTCGTGGGAGGCTTTTTGGCAAAGAGAGGAAAAGGGGAGGGGATGGGAAAGGAATTTTCCTGCCTGTTATCCATTACTCAAGCTCAGCACAGACTGAGGGAAGGATGGCAGGCAGGAAAATCCCCCCCCCCCAATTTCTTCCTAGTTGCCAAAAAGTCTCCATTCCGAACCTTCAGTTTTCAAAATGGAGGCTTTTTGGTGAATGGGAGGAAAATAAGGGGAGGGGGGATTTTGCTGCCTGTCCTCCATTCCTCAAGCTCAACACAGACTGATGGCAGGCAGGAAAATCCTCCTCCCCATTTTCCTCCCGTTCGCCAAAAAGCCTCCATTCTGAACGCTGAAGATTCGGAAAGGAGACCACGGTGCATCCAGCTCTGGCCTGCTGCACCTCAAAAAAAGTAAGACCGCCTTGAAAATAAGCCCAAGTGCTTATTTTCAAGTCTAAAAGAAAATAAGACTTGGTCTTATTTTCTGAGAAACACGGTAGATTTAATTGTTGTAACAGCAGAAAAATGTCTGGTTACATTTTATTTGCAGAAAAACTTATGCTGGGCAAAATACTCCATTAATTATAATTCTCCTTTTCTCAGTTTATATTAGAAACATGTTTCACATTTTCCAGAGCCTCCTTAGCATAGAAGACATCACATCAAGTCACTGATTCATTTCTGTAAATCATGTAACAACTGAGACCAAAGGCCACATCATTTTCCACATGCTTAGTAGAGAATGTAAACTATTTGGATTATACTATGATTGTATGTAGTTACCTTGGCTTTAAATCTGTTGGAGCATCTTTCTTGCTCATTGATAATTTTTTGCTTTTCTGTTTTACATGTATTTCATTTTCTTGTTTCTCTGGTATTAACTGTTTTCCCTTTTGTTTTTCTGGCTCCTGAAAGTAGAAACGGCATGATTGAAACCTTTAAATATATTCAGGTTGTGAATAATGTTCTAGAAAGCAGTATTTTCAATACTGGGCAAAAATCAAGAACCCGGGGAGGGGTGAGGGCATAACCTCAGACTGATAGAAAGTTCAAAAGAAATGTTAGAAAGTACTATTTCACAAAAACGGTAGTGGAAGATTGGAACCAACTTCCAGTGGAGGTAGTGGGTCAATCATTAGTAACTGAGTTTAAACATGCTTGCGATAAACAAATGTCTATCATCTGCAAAAATTAAAAAAAGAAAAATTAAGAAAATATAAAAATATTTTAAAATAATAAATTAATTAAAAAGGAAACAAAAAACAAACTCAAAGGGCAGACTTGATGGACTACTACCATGTTTCCCCCAAAATAAAACCCGGTCTTATATTTTTTGGGCTCCAAAATAAGCACTAGGGCTTATTTTCAGGGAAACATGATTTCAGGGTGATCAGCCTGGCTAGGTGCCCCACACCCTGGCATGTGCACAAGAGGCTGCAAGCATGCAGGGATTGATGGTATCCAGCAGCAACTGCAGACAGCTAGACCCTTGGTAGTGCACTCTGGGGCTGTGCAGCCCAAAGATGAGTTGATTCTCTGTCCAAGAAGCAGGCAGGCAGACGTGCTGGAGAAGGCAGGTGATCCGGACACACTGTGTGGGCTGCAGGAAAGCCAAGAGTCGGTGGGCCAGAGCAGGAGGCTCGTCTTCACACGGTGGCACTGGTAGCAGAGGGAGGCAGAAGTGCGGGGCAGAAGGCAGGTGATCACAATGCACTGTGCAGGCTGCAGGCAAGTTGAGAGACGCAAAGACAAACCTCCTGTGGCTGGCTGCCAGCTCCGGCCGTCAACTCTTAGCATTTCCACAGCGCATCCAGATCGCATGCCTCCCTCTGCCTGATGCTTGGACAGGAAATCAACTCGTGCTGTGGCTGCTGTTGGACACTGTCAGCCTGCGCACTTGCTGCCTCCTGTGCTGGCCATGCACACCCTTCACTGGAGCTTATTTTTCAGGTAGGACTTATATTAGACACATGCTTAAAAACAGGTTAGGGCTTATTTTTTGGGGGGAAGGACTTATTTTCAGGAAAACACGGCAGCTCTTTTTCTACCACCAATTTTTTATGGTTATATGTTTCTAAACCAAAAACAAAATGAAAATTTAATTGGATGTCATATTTTTTTAAAGGAGAGAATAATTTTATTATACATCAATTTTCTTCTTCAAGCTGTCTCACAAAAATGACCACATACTTATTAAACATTATAGATTCATCTTACATGACTTCATTCTCTTCTTATCTAAGAAGTTGGATTAATATAATTCCACCCTCCAGAAATAGCCTTTTAATCATATAATCTAGGTTTTCATTCTAAAATTAGCATTTAGAAATTTGAAACCTCTTCCTAAAAGCTATTTTAAACTTTAAAGACAGATTTTAAAGTAAATAATCACTTTTCTATAATGCTATGCCTTATAGCTATGGATGGTTTGTCCAAAGAACATTTTGTATCTCTCTAAAACTCTGGATACTTATTATTGCCTGCATTGTCAATTAGCCCTAATCCCACTCTGGCAGAGGTAAATTTATTTTTCCTTCCAAACTGATGGTTTTGTGAATTAATTGTGAATTAGGGCACAGGAAGGAATTTTGCTAAAGGTTCAGATTACCTCATATTTTAACACTATAAAATACAGCAACAATGTATGGAAGAGAACCACCATATCAAATAATGTTATCTGCTTATTTATTTCTTAAATAAATTAATATAAAACTTTAAAACTGCAGTGATGTTGATAATTTTTAAAAAATCTACTGAAGGCATTGAATATACAAGATTCTAGTTTTTAAAATGCTATCCAAGCTATTCCTATTAAAATTATGTACCTCTTTCAGAACGGCTTCTGTATCTGGGTTTGAAGTTTCTGTTGTGGTTGAAGAACTGTCATCATCAGCTAGAGCATCTCTTAATTCATCCTCTTGTTGCCTACCCTTTCCCCTGTGTTCCTTTTCTTCACGTTTCTTTGGGGGTTTCGATTTTCGCTGGAATTGTTTTCCTTTCCCTAGGATGATAAAGGTAGTTACATTGTTTCAAGATTAAATGTCATAAATCAACATTATTTATAAAACATTAAACAAACAGATATCAAACTAAAATAGTAAAAGAGAAAATCATAGCTAGATGACACATTCTGATATAAACTAATTTCTGCTTTGGATTGTTCTTATAGTGGTCATGACAAAGCAGTATTTTGCTATATTTTTCTACATTTCTAAGGAATTATAACTAATAGAAAAAAATATGTTCTCTTCCATAGTAATTTAGTTTGGTGGTTGAAGTGGTTTAAAAAATGATAATATTAATTCAGAATGCCATACATGATACAGTAGATAATTTAGCAGAAAATAGAACCTCTGGTCATGACCATAATTCGTTCCATAACTTTGGTCGCAACCCGATTTGGTCGTGGCCCGAACCTAATTTTGGAAATATGGTGTTACAAAAAAAAAAGGGGTGCAGAAGAGAAAATCAGCTGTGGAAAAAAAATTGAATTTTTTTGGTCAGACCCCGATTTGGTTGTGGTCAGAAGCAGTCACAAATATTTCTGACCATGACCATAGATATGATAATTGTTCAGTGATGCCCTTCCTGCAGGAACAGATTTGGTTCTGGAAGTGAAGGTTGCTATACCTCCCTTCCAAAACTCAAAGCATTAAGCCTAAGAAAACAACCTCTTTTGTGAGGGATAGAAAGAATTCTGTATAAATGTAAATAAAAAAGACCTATTCCACAGGCTGTTATACAGGTAAGAAATTCTACTCTATTCCTGTACATCTTTATTTGTCTCAATCCAGGATATATTTCTTGAAATTTTATAAGGTCCTGAGACCCTAGTATTATCAATTGGGGGGGGGGAATACTGAGAGTCCATAATAGGTCAAGTATGAGGCTATATCTCCCCCCCTCCCGCACAATGAGTCAAACTTGTTGACAAGAATTACCTGGGATAAAGTTTTGCCTATGTTTCAATCAGTAATTCCTTTTTGGGTCTCTGCTGATACATAATCAAGTTCCAGTGAAGCATTGGTCTCTCATTTTTTTACATCTTTACAATTACACATATGTGTATGATAAAGAATGAGACTCAGCATTTTGCTGCCAAAAGAATGATTGTAATGGGAACCTTATTTCCATGGTGGTTGGAAAATTAAATTATTGCGGTGGAAGCTTTTATGCAGAAAATGAAATAGTTTTATCTTGCCTTTTTGTAGATTGGAGGTTAGAAAGAGACTTGCTGTTTATAGTGGCCTAAATTTGCTCAAATCCAATTGCTGTTGATTTTCTATTTATGAAGGACTTTATCATTGTTTTGTGAATAAGATAACAATTGTTCATTATTTCTGTGATACTCTTTAGATAATACTTTTAAAGTCAAGTCTATATAACATGCTGCCTACTAAGCAGCTTTGTGCAGTTAACTGCATTTTTTTTTAAAAAAACAACAATTTTGCTTTATCAGCATTTGCCTGCTTCTAAGTTAGGAGTTGAGAAGAACCGATGGAAAGTTCTTTGATCTGATAGATCTGATCTATCAAAATATGGTAAGCAACCATGGAATAATCAGTAAAGGGTCTAATCAAGCTATTTCAGGAAGCCTGGATAATGACACAGATTTGCAAGAAATCAGTCCAAGTAACAATACCAAAGAAAGAAGGCTTTCAGGGGATGAATGGTGAACTGAAGATGTGTCTATGAAAGTGGAGCTGCTGACTATGGGGAAAAAAGAACTGGTAAGTACACTGGTCCCTTGGAAGCTCTTTCAATAAGGAGAGGATTAAAGGTTGCCTACATATGCTCTAGAAGGATACTCCTTCTGAGAAGACTGCAAGACAGCGGTCTCCCGTGAATCTGACTTCTTGGAGATGAAGGGACCAGCCATCGTGTTCACAATTGCAGCCTTTTAAAGGATATTAAGTTTGCTAACTTCACTTTCTAATCATTTTTGGAAATTGCTTATTAATTACTTTTCAGCTAGTAGAGAATTTTAGAATGAACACCAGGTGAATCTACCCACTGTACAACCCAGTATAAAAGAATGTTTTAATAATCTGCTAAAAAAAAAAAGAATTTGAAATGAACAATAAAAAGCTAAACAGAATTTTGATCTTAGAAAGTTCTAAATGGGCAAGGGTCCAGATAAATTTGAAACATTAACTTTTATAAAAATATTTTGGAATTAATTCTAAAGAACAAACAATTTCTTGGGGAAAATAGATCCGTTTTTGTTTTTACAAGACAAGAAAGAGAAGTAATTTTATAATTTTAAAAACTGGATACTAGGGTGAACTAAAGATTCTAGGCAATAACTCCACAAGCCTACAAAACTAGGTTAATTAACGGGGGCCTACAAAATGATGCAAAACATTATGACAATGAAAATATTAAAAAGATTTTTGAAGAATGGAGCCATAAATCAGTAAATACCCCCACACTTCACACCGGTGGCCTGTTTTTAGGCTGCAGGGAGGCCTGCTAGATCCAAAATGAGGTGTGGGGGGTTTCACGTGCATGCGTGGGAAGAGTCATGGTAGCATGTGCAGGGGGTGGAGCATGTGTATGTGTGTGTCACACGCACATTGCATTATGGGTTCGGGCCTTTGGCATGGAACAACAAAAAGGTTAGTCATCACTGGGCTAAGGAGAATTGTAGCTAGAAAGAAAAATGGCACAAAGGCAGCTGGTAGATCAAGTCAGTTTTTAAAAGTTTTAGGACCTGAAAAAAATGATAAGGATAAATTGTAGACCTCTGGGCCCATTTTTGGGTGGAGGGATCAATGTCCCTAAAGCAGATTTCCAGAAGAGAGGTCCCAAGAAGACCCAATTAGAACATCAACATTGTGCTAGCCACAAGAGTTTGCCAGTTAAGTTTTGTTCAGAACCCTTAAGCTAAGAAGGGGAATGCATTTAATTGAAGATAAAACTCAAGTTTAAGATAAATACACTGCTCTGAAGAAGACCACAACTTTTCAGGCAACTGCTAAATAGCAGACCAATTGGAATGACTTGTTTCCTTTATTACATTCCAAACCTTTAATGGCAAACATGCAGGGTGGAGCAGTGCAGGACAGGGTTAAGTCAGGGCAGCATAAGTTTTAATGGCATGCAGTTTATAGAGCTATCAAGATATAAAGACCAGGTTCAGAAGCATTTATCTTCCAATGTTAGAAATATAAAGGAGAAAATGGACTGATTTAGAAAAATAATCTTGTGTGCTGTTTTCTCTTTAGAATACCTACATCCTCCCCTGGAAATGCAAATAAAAAATATTATAATGGAAAACCCATTCTACTAGATTTCTCAGGCTGGGGAAAAATGCCCCCTAGCTTTTGAGACAAAAAAAAAGATCTACGGGTAATGTATTTTGATGGATAATACGGTAATACTGTAGTTTCAAAACCTTGTACAGTGTGGACCTTTGATCTGTAGTGTATCCAAAAATCATGGAGAAAGCATTTGTGTATGTTCACATTTTTTAAAGCTTGGAAACGTATCACTATCATTGTAAGTTATTGCCACTTTTGTCATCTCCATTATCTAGCAATATTTCTCCAAATCACCAAATCTCTTGTTAAGCTGAGATATAGGTAGTTCTCAATTTTCAACCATTTGAAATTACAATGGCACTGAAAAAGTGACATGGTCATTTTTCACCGTTGCAGCATCCCCATGGTCATGTGATCAAAATTCAGATGACTGGCAACCAGTTCATATATATGATGGTCTGGGGTCATGTGATCACCTTTTGTGACCTTCTGAGAAGCAAAGTCAATGGGGAAGTCTGATTCACTTAACCGTTTTACTAACTTCACAACTGCAGTGATTCACTTAAGTATGGCAGGAAAGGTCGTAAAATGGGGCAAAACTCACTTAATGTCTTGCTTAACAACATAACATTTTGGGTTCAATTGTGGTCGTAAGTCAAGAATTACCTGTATATTAGGGGTTGCTAATTCAGATCAGTAAAACTTTACAATGGCTTGCTCATAAAGAAGAAATGTATGCTACAGGTTTGTCTTGTTTAGAAATATTTTCTTTCAACAACCCATTTTAACTTTATATACTTCCTTTATACTACTTAAAAGCACAGTTAATCAGGAATTTATTACCTTTATTTTTTGCTACTGGAGAGGGTGGTTGTTCTGTAAATACCTCTGGAGAAGGTGATTCTGGGTGATCAAAGTCTTTATCCATGGTTTCCATGAGAGTGGCAATATCAGAGTCTTCTGAACTATGCCTTGTATTATTAGCACATTCTGAATATGAAGGTGCAGGCTGCTGCATTTGTGGTGAGGAATTTTCATTCTGCTGTTCTTGTTGCTGAGATACCGCTGGTAGCTCTGGTAAATGTTGCTCTAGTAAAACTGATGCATGCTGCTGGTTTGATTGCAAATTTTGTTTTGTACTTCTAGATTTCCTGCCTGCTGCATGATTCTGAGTTGCAGCATTAGAATCCAAGCAGACAGAACCTGCTCTGTTCATAGCCTGTGCAGAACCTGCCTGCACAGAAGTTCTGTTCGCAATATTAGAACTGTTTTTAAATCTCATATTATCAACTTCAATTGAATTTCTATTGCTGTGTAGATTCACTGATGAATTACATTGCTTATGACTTCCTGCACTGGATCTTGATGAGGAATTTCCTGGTCCATACATTCCTCTGGAAGAACTGTGATTTGACTCTGATCCAAGGGGATTCAAGCTGAAATAAAAATAACCGCCTTTAAATCTCACAATGCAAATATTTAGAATATAGAGATCGACCTACTTACTAAAATGCATGAGACTTTAATGACTAGGTATTAAATTTAATACAGTGAATAAAAATATATGGAATTAATGCTTAATTTTGATCTAAAAGCTCAATATATAAATGTTTCCATTCCATAATCACTGCTAATCCCCCTTTTAAGATTCCACTGCCATTCTTTCTTCATGTACATATTTTCTGTATAACTGAGTTTTACCCATATATTATCCTAAGAATTCTGCAAATAAATAAAGTCTGGTCTCATACATCACTTATAATATGTTCAAGAACATGATAGAATCATACCAAAGGATCTGTACATTAGGATAAGGATAAAGCTGTTCATTATTATTTGTTTTTGCATTTTGATTTATTTTCTACTTCTATTGCTACAAAATATAAGATGTATACCATGGATTTACTAATTTGATGTACATCCAGGATTAAAATAATATTTAATATTTTCCCCTTTAAACTGATAATCCAATTTTGGAAAAATAATATTAATTGGTATTTATTAGGCAAGATAATATAAACAACACATTTGCCCAGTGAATTTTAATTCCATAATTATTCTTTATGTACACAGATATGCTCAAATGTTGCAAGTCCAGTACAAATCCATTCTGAGGACAACATACATTAATGAAACTGTCACTTTGAAAGCATTCAATTTCTAAGTAAAGCCATACTTTCCATCAGATGAAATTCCAAGTATTCTCCTGAGATCGAATGGTCTTCCCATATCAAAAGGAGGATTGGAAGCTTCAAAGGAAAGGCGCCTTCTAAATGGTTCCCAAATTCCTTGAGCTTCTAAATAGGCTGTTCCAATTACCAAAAGGAAGAGCACACTGCAAGAGAATTAAGTGCTTTTATTATTTTGATTCTTAAAATCAAAAGATACAATGGCAGTCCGTTTACTAATTATAAAATTCCTTGATTTACTAAATGATAAAATATACAAAATAAGCTTAAATACTGATTCAACCAACCAGACAGGATTTGTTTTAATTTTTACTCTTCAATTTATAAAAAAATAAAAAAATGGCAAGCAGTGCAAGAATTTCAGTAGTAATCCATTTACGACTGATTGCAACATTCCAGTCACTTGTGGGCATAAGTTGGGGACTATCTGCATGAAGACTTATTTTCTTAATAAGTAGAGAAGACCAGTAAACAAAATATGTAAAAAAAAGATGCTTAATACCTCATTATTCCTGAGACTACTATGTACAGTGCCAACTCCCAATTTGGTCTTGGCAAAGCTTCTGCACAAGTTGCTAACATGTGATAGGGAAGAGATGCATTTAATACAAATATAAATTCTGAGCCTCCTGCTGTGGTTAGTTTCAGTTCACGAATGACTCTGGAAGTAGTGAAATCTGGTGTAAACCTGTTGACATAAAGAAATACTGTCTACTTATCCAGGTTGTATCATTTACAACAACAACAAAAAACAATTTTGCAAATTCCAATTAAGTTAGAGCCATTCTAAAAGTCAATGTCATTTTTGATGGCCCAACAATAACCAATGTAATAACTTCCTTTGATTCTTGTTTAAAAAAACCATGCAACAATATTGAAAAAGTGAAGCATTTTTCATTATGAAACATTTTGGGTGTTCATAGTAAAATATATGTAAGTAAAATAATATGGGAGTGTAGAAAACTATTGAAAAATACAAGAAACTTAACAGAACATCTACTATAATTTGTTCCTGCCCCAATTGTAGATAAAGGAAAGGAATAATGAGCATATGCCTAATGAACTTTCATTCTATAATCCACAAGGGTCTTGGATATTTAGGCTATTTAAGTATAGGCTATCCTCTATCTTAGCCTCAGGTGGCATATTCAGTCCAAGATCGCTATGTTCAGTCATGCACATACAGTTTCCAGAAAGACCCCAGAGTAAGGCATCATACATGAATACCCAACGACACTTACAATATGACAATGTCTTTAGAGGCATTGGCACTTAGTGCAAATTCTTGGCAATTAACTATTTTAAATCCATATCCTTCACATAAATATCCACTGATTTCCATGGATTTTATGTTAAGCTGAAGCTGCCCTGTATTTTCCACTTTGAATGTTCTTTTCAGAGTAAAATTTGGCTCCTTCAACTTTGTTTCTGTAACAAAGAGAACAAAATGTTTAATATTATAATCCATGTTATTTAATAATAAGATATTAGTCTATATCTGTTTTCTTTCTTTTTAATAAAACCATCATTGGCCCTTATTTTAGTCTTTTTAAAAAAGAAAAAAAAGTAATACTATATTTACTATCTTTCTTGAGCACTTTTTCATGGAATTGACTGTTTTAACTCTAGTGATTAAAATACTCACTTTCTGTACAATCTTTTAGTAATGCTTCAGTGATTTTGAATCTCAATGAACTGGTTACTCCGGGTGCTTTTCCTGCAATCTTCAGGCTTTCTGTTGTTCCTTGTCCTTTAACCATTATAACATCTATTACTGTTAAATTGTTTCTATAAAACAAAAGCAATAGAATCATTATAAAATTAACCACATAACAATGTTTAACTATTTTGAAGCTATTCCGCAATTTCGATTTCAATCAGAATAGAGCTGGAAGGGACCTTGGAGGTCTTCTAGTCCAACTCCCTGCTCAAGCAGGAGACCCTATACCATTTCAGATAGGTGGCTGTGCAGTCTCTTCTAAAAAACCTCCAGTGATGAAGAACCTACAACTTCTGACTGCAAGCTGTTCCACTAGTTAATTGTTCTCACTGTTAGGAAGTTTCTCCTTAATTCCAGGTTGCTTCTCTTCTTGATTAGTTTCCATTCATTGTCTCTTGTCTTGCTTTCTAGTGCTTTGGAAAATAAGTTGACCCCTTCTTCTTTGTGGCAGCCCCTCCAATACTGCAATATTGCTATCATGTCACCCCCAGTCCTTCTTTTTTCTAGAATAGCTATACCAATTCCTGCAACCATTCTTCTTATGTTTTTGTCTCCAGGCCTATAATAAATATTAGTTGCTTTTCTTTGCAATTTTCAAAAGTCTCAACATCTTTTTTGTAATGTAGTAACATTAAAGTAATGGAATATTCTAAGTGTATCTTAATATGGATTTACAAAGCGGTAGTAATACTTCATGTGCTTTTGATTCTATGCCTGTGTTTATAAAACCAAGGACTGTATTCGATTTTTTGGTTGCTGCTGCACACTGCTGGCTCATGTTTCAGTGATTGTCCACTAGGATTCTAAGGTCTCTCCTGAATTATTAGTTTACGATGGTAATTGTGCCTACAATTTCTATGACTAAGTGATGTGGTCATAAAGTGTACCATTACGAGATCACATTGCTTTTGATGGCAATCCTGGCAGTCCTGGACATCATTATAACTCTAGGACAGTGATAGCTAACCTTTTTGGTGCTGAGTGCCCAAAGCACACACACACACCCAAAATGCAATGCAAGTGCCCCCCCTGCGCATGTGCCCCCCTTCACCCATTTTTAGCTTCCAGGTTGGTGCAGAAGACTTTCCAGGCCCAAAACAGGCAGGGGATTGCTTATCATTGGGTCAAATGTTTGACAAAATGCAGCTATGTCTCTTCATACAAATATGTTTTCTACATAATAATCAATACATAAATAAAATACAATCTTAGTTAATTATCTTTCCTCTAATGCAAAGTATTTATGAAAAAGAATATTATATTTGATTTGATGACATGAATATATATAGCAATATATACAATAAAGATAGATTACTTGTTGTTTTAGGACAAGAAGTTCTATAAGTTGGATCAGGTATACATACAATACTTGTAACAAAACATTTCATCTAATTTCTTATACAGCTACAAAATAATTGCAAGTCATGTTGACTAATCAACCTGTAAAAAGTATAGTCAAAATTCAGAAGTAATATTTGTGTTAATTATATTCAGAAATCATACTATACCTGATAATTATTAGGGATGAAACAGTTTTATTAAGGATTGGAGTGAATTTTATTTTAATAGATTTTCTCTCACCAGGTTTTAAAATTACATTTAAAACTGACTGCCGAGACAACCCTTCTATAAATCCTGTGGAGCTCTGCAATGTCTGACCCTTTAAAAAAAGAACAAAATACAGAAATGCAACATATATTAGAAATTTTAAGTTTCGATATATAAAAAGCAAATCCATATATTTAGTAAATACATGAGAGTCCTAATGACCAAAGCACAATTTGTAGATGTGCATATTCAGATAGAATTCAATATTTTGGTTTGTCACTGACTTCTTTCAGTAGCAAGACTAATTTTGGTATCAGAGCTACATTTAAAAAAATATCTCTTTGGTTTCTGAGAGATGTATAGAACATGGCATCAATACAGTGATTTAGCAGAATGGAAATTTTATTTTGTTCTTATTTTGTGAAATAAACTTTAAGTAAACATTTTTGGGTAACTTACTACTGCGGGGAGAGGAATGGGCCCATGGTGCAAGGCCTGTTCATTCTGCTTTGGGATATTCATTAAGTGCATAGTGGAAATACAATTTGAACCAGGAATTCTAAATATATAGTTCTTATTTGTAATTACTATATTATACCAAGATTGACATCTGAAGAAAATCAAGAAGTGAGAGTTACTTACACAATTTCTAGAAACTTGAAATTCTAATGTCTTCAAATTGATGTCTCCTGTTTTACTTAAATTAAATCTAAAAGAAACATATTTTATTAGCCACATTTATGCATTTATAAAAATAAAATTTATTTGAGGAAATACCTTTGAAAAGGTATATTAAAAATATATTTGAATAATATTCTAGGTTAATTACACTCCATAGTAAAACTGTGAAATATTTTTGCTTAAACAAGCTTGTTTCAAAGTTGCAGGTGCAGCTAAACAATCAAAGATTCATCCCTTTTTATGCATGTACAATGCATATCAAGCAGAAGCAGAGCTTTGATCCCATGGTCACCACTCTCATTTTGAAACCAGTGACCATCACTAAGGACACCCCAATCATATGATTGGGGGGATCCATTTTTCAAATGTGGTTATGCATTAAGCAGACAGAAAAACACACAAGGAACTTATAATTAAAATATAAATGACATCAAGGCAATGGAACATACAGTTAATCTCCTTATCAACCCTCTTAATATCAACTGTTACCTGTCAAGTAGCTTATCTACAAAGACTGATGGATTACAGTATAGCGCTATGGGAAGAAGCTGAGCAAAAATGGGAACATCCGCAGGATTTTCTAGAACAATTTCTTCTTCCTAATGGAACAAATTTAAATTCAGATTTATTGTATAAAAAGGGATAAAAAAATATTAAGCTTTACTCTATTAACAATGCCAAGACTTACAGAAGAACCATTTGTATTGGTAAGTGAGAAATCCAACTGGTGCTGTGAGCCAAGCAAAGAGGGCCAGGCCAATTCTGCTGTGATTTTGGATGTCACAGCCTTTTGAAGATCTGTGTCCACTTCAAATACAGCATTCAGCCTAGGTATTAAAAAAAGTTAAACAAACAAAAAAGTAACAGTAGTTCATGGAATTCACATGATATAAAAACCATATTTTCACAATTCTGCATTACATTTTGATTTTAAAAAGAATTATATTTCATTAAAATACAGTACATTATCAACTCTAGTTATAGAGAAATAATGACACAAAGGAGGGAGGAACATAATACTGAGAAGACATAAAACATTTTACATAGTAAAATGATGAAACTATTCTATATATAATTGGCATATGTCCGTCTCTAAGGGAGATGGGAGTTCAAAAATATGAAAAATAAATGAAAATAAATAAATATGGAAATTGGAAGATTTGTTTAAAATGGCTACTAGGCATAGAATTAAGCTATTGCTCCCACATTTAATGAATGGAACCATTATTAGTAAAGGTCACTATTAGTGGCAGGCATTTGCTTCTACAGTAAGGAATCAAAGAATTTATGAACCACAATATGACTAAATAGAAGCATTCACAAGATGGTAAAATCAACTATCTGACAAACGTGTACTCTGATTCTTTGAACTATTTAAAAGACCGATATAATCAGAATTCTTTACAACATAATCTTTGTGCATGTGCACATTTCTGTGTGTCAAAAAGATCAAGACAGCAAGTGTGAATGTACAATCAAAACTCCACCTATTTTTTGCATTAAGCACTCATTTATAAGGTTGAAGCATTGTTGCTCACTTATCTCTATCTTGACTTGCTGACCACTTCTGTGGGCATGCCTAGTGTAACTAAGGAAAAACACTCGTTACCTTTTAATCTATAATAATTTCTCCAGTATATTTGTTGAATCGTTTATCTTAAGTTTCTAGTTTCTAAACTGATTCTTGCAATTTGATTAGAAAATAATTTCTTTTGTTTCTTATTTGCTTAATACATATAATTTAAAACATTTTAACAAGCAAGTAAAATGATGTTAAAAAATCAGAGTTAACTCAAATGTAACTGTATTTTTTAAAAAACTCACTGATTGTTTGAATAATCTCTTATTCCAATCCATTCTCTGAATAAATTATCATGCAACTCCCAATCTGAATCCCATGCATCTTCTTGCATTGACACACTGTGCTGTACTTTTGATTCAGCTAGAGAAAAAAACAACCACCAATCAATGATTTAATCCAAAATGCCTTCAATAATAACAGCACTTTTAATAGTTAATTATAGAAATAATTACTTACATTTACTCAGAAAAGGCAAACCTACATAACAGTGGTTTCCACACTGTAAACCAGGATCAAAATAAATATTAGCTATCTGAAAAATATAAGTAAGATGGAAACAACCTGAATAACAATAACATATCTTGGGACAGCAAATATATAACATGTTTTAGTGTACTCCCAATATCGGCAGAAAAATATTTGAAATTATAAAGTAAAACTGAGAAATACTTCCTATTTGTATACCTGAGAATCTTGAAATTCTGTTAGTGGTTTTATATATGGAATAGGAGATTTCAAAGATGTGTGAGAGTTTGTGATCTACAGAAGCCCTGTTTCTACATGAGCCCCAATAAATACATAGAAACTACGTCAACCAATGCAATAATTTCCTTCTTACTGATTCCAGTAAAAAGAGACAAAAAACTCCCATACAGACCGAAAACTAAAGGAACAAAAAACAAAAACAACCCTTTCCTTTCCCCATCTCCCTTTATGCCTATAGCAGACTTGATAAATGATGACAATTCCACAGATAACTCTGTTCATATGAATCATATTCAAATGCTCAAACCTTTGATTTTTTCCCTGGTTCTAGATCTTCCTTGTTACTTCGTATTCTCTTGTAATAAAACCGAACATCTTCTGATAATGATCGGATCTGCTGTATTTTTACCTTCTGTGAGAAATAATTCATAAGACTCAAACTCTGATGAACTGCCTTGCCCTAGAAGAAGAAATATTTTTTTCCTTTTAATGCTTTTGTGCCCATAGTGATCACATTCTGATACATTTTTGAAGCAAACAAAACATTTTAATTGTTTGAAGTGTTCAGAGACCACTATTAGAACATTCTCTATAATTATCATTTAGGCTATTTTAAGCCACACCAGTTGAATGATTTTCTATATAGTTTAAATGATCACAAGTTAAGAAGAAATGCTTTCATGCAAGTGTTTCAAAATCTGCCAATGTATTAAAGTGTTTAGGATTGAACTGTTTAGTCAGAGGATAATGAACTGTAAAAGTAGATAAACACTCAGAAAATCTTTCAATATTACAGCTAAGGTATTCTAATTACCCTGATTTATTGCGATGCACTCAACCTAACATTCATGAACATAAAACCACATGAAGAAATTAGGGTTGCAAAATCATAATTATTTATGGAAATGCTTGTGAAAACAGAAACCAAATATTTGTTTAGATATTTATATAAGGAATCCTTTGGAACTGGCCATACTGAGACAGTAGAAAGTTGCAGCTCACCAACAAGAAGGTCACAGCTTCATCAGAAAACCATAAAAGGTATATACAACATAATTATATGACCACTATATTTCTTTTGATCTTTTGGTCAATAAACCAAAAGGTAACAAGCAAATTGGATAAAAAGAATGACATACAACTAAGGCTTTAGTCACAATGTACTGACTTGTTGTCTATTTTACGTAAGATATTAATCTAGGTTTAGGTATATACTTTGTTGCTATACTGTATAAAGTGAGTGAACTTTCAGAATGCCTGTATGCTAAAAATAAGCTATCATTTGTGGACCAAATTGATATATCTTTTCTGTATATTTCTTCAAATATGTTCTAGGTTCAAGCTCAGAAATCTTCCAGCAAAGACATGGAGATGTGCAAGTAGTTAAATAAGGCACCATATTTTTCGGAGTATAAGACACACCGGAGTATAAGATGCACCAAGGTTTTGAAGAGGCAAATTTTAAAAAAAGTAGGTAGGTAGATAGAGGAATAGAGGGAGAGAAAGATAGACAAATACAGTAGGTAGGTAGGGAGAGAGAGTGTGTGTAGGTAGGGAGAGGGAGGGAGGGAGAGGGGGGAAATACCATAGGTAGAGAGAGAGAGAGTAGATAGGTAGGTAGCTGTTTCCAGGTGTATTTATCCATGTGCTGGAGAAGGAAATCACTGACAATCTACAGCACCTAAGACTTTGTTTCTGCATGCATAGCCATATGGAGGCGTATAGAGTACTGCTGGGGGGCTGAGGGGTGGGGTAACGGACCATTTTTGCTCAATTCTGCCCTTCCCAGCCTCTATAAGGGTATGTACAGCCATTTTGTTGAAGGAGGCGAGGCTTCAGGAGGCAAAAAATGTTATATTCAGATTTTCAGCCTCTTTTTTGAGGGAAAGAAGTGTGTCTTATACTCTAAAAAATACAGTAAGTCTACTGATGTAAAACTGAATTTAGCTTATTGTCGCTTTTCTCCATTTTACAAATTACTCTACAACGGAACTTTGACAATATGATTAGGAAAAATTCCACTGTAATAGAATAAAAACAATGACTTGTAATATATATGATGGGAGGTTCCCTTTCTGTTTAGTTGTGTGTGTGTGTGTGTGTGTACGTACGTACGTACAAGCTATTAAACAGGCATTATACACAAATCATAAATTCAAGTTTATAAATGCTACTCATGGAAAAATTAGTTAAACTGACAGAGTATAAGCATCTATATTTTTGAACGTGCATGGGAATTACTTGCACTTATTCTTAAAGAACATAAAAAGAAATTGCCTTGAATCAAAAATAAGGCCAAACCCCCCATTTTAACAAAGTTGCTTATTAAGTCAGAAATTTAATTGAAACACTTAATATTAGCTTCTTAGAGATTAGGGTTACTCAGCCTTTTATAATTATGAATGAACCAGTTAGGAAAGCACACCAAGTTTGCTAAAAATGACCGTTGTCTTACCTGAACGGTCCTTCTATGGGTGCTGCGAAGGGAATCCAATCATGGGTTAACTTAGCCCTCTAGCCTTGAGACTGAGTATGCAAATTTCAAAGTCACGCCTCCTCTGACTGGACTTCTGTTTCCATTCAGTTTCTCTTACTCAGTCCAAGCCTACAGACCTATTTCAATTCTCTCTTGACTAATTGATAATTTCTCAGGATTAATACTGGATTTCCTTTGTTTCGCTGATTGAGCTCTTTCAAATTCATACTATGGCTGATCAATCGGTAGTGCAAGGTACTGTCGGGCCAGTTTCTGAGCCCCGTTCCCCTGGCGAGGGGGGGGATAACCCTGGGCCTAGCAAGGCCACGACCAGGGCTTCCAGTAGCAGGCCTCGAGCCTCATCTACTGTTCGGGATAAGTCGCACAAGCGCAAAGATAAGGCCAAGGCTCCCCCCAAGGCATCTGGGGCTCCCATTTGTTCCCCTCCGGTTCTGATTCAGCAGCCTGTTTCTCCGGTGCGAGTTGTTGAGCAGGGTTGGTCCCCTGATATTCAGCTTCCCCAGGCCCCGCTTCCTGAGGTAGGGGTTTTCGGGCCTCAATCTCCCCCAATTATTTCTGAGGCTAGTGGGGCTTCTCTTCGTTCGCCT